ATAGTACCCCAGGGCACTGCTGAATACAGCCCAGCCTGGCTTGTCGGCAGGAACTGGAAGGGCAGACCAGTCACTGGGGACAGGGAGTCATCCCACTCATCTCCTGTTAACCTGCAAGCCAAGGCCCTAACAGGTAGGGAGGTCCTCTCAGGACAAGCAGCAGGAAAGCTTGCCAGACAGTGCTCTAAATGGCAAGCTATGTGGGTTTAGCTGGCTAGACACCAGTAGTACCCCAACACACACTCTTGGTCCCCAAGCCTTGGCTCTTGCCAACCTGAGCCTAATTAGGTAATATGGGATGCGTCTTTGCAGGGAGAGAGTGTGCGTTCCATTCCAACTATCTACCAACAGGATTTCCATATGTAGGTAGGATGCATGGAACAGCATTTGGTTTGGATACTCTTAAGCATTGTGACAGGGATCAGGCACCCAGCTGACCAAAAAAATTAACTTGGGTGGGTGAATTCTTGGCAAATGGTTTCTCCTCCCGCCCCCGCCTGGTCACCTGCTCCATCCTTGGCCTTCTCTTTTCCTTATATGTGTGCTCCCGTTGGGCAATGTCATCCTCAACCACAGGTAAACTTCCACATGTATGCGGATGACACACAAATCTACTTTGCCTCCCCCAGTACCAACTCCAGCTTGTCTTGGCAGACATCAAGGCTTGGATGAATGCAAACTTCCTGCAGCTGAATGTGGACAAGATGGAAGCCATACACCTTGACTCCCATCAACGTCTTCACTCCTGCGGATCTGAATTCCTCAACCTCTCTGGGATCTCCCCTCACGCTCACCGAACCAGTGCGCAATCCAAGCATCCGGTTCGATCCCAGCTATCCTTCTTTTCCCCACATCCGGTCCCTAACCAGGACCGCCTTCTTCCACTTTCGCCACATTCCGCGCCTCGGGCCTGTACCTTACCCGAAATGCAGCCGAAATCATTGTGCATGTGTTTATCACCTCCCGCCTGGATTACTCAAACGCGCTCTTCGCCGGTCTCCCCAGCTCCACTATTCAAAAGATCCAGCTCATTCAGAACTCTGCTGCCCGCATGCTGAGCCAGACCAAACTACGTACCCACAACTAACCAGTTCTGGCCAAGTTCCACTGTCTCCCCATCACCGAATGGATCAACTTCAAGATCCTCACACTCGCGTTCAAATCCCTTCACTCTCTGGCACCTCTCGACCTCTCCAACCTCCTCACTCCCCAATCCACCATCTGGCACCTCTGCTCAACTGACACCGGCCTCCTCATCCTTCGCACCCATTGCCCCACCATCGGATATTGCTCTTACAGCCACTACACCCTGAAATTCTGGAACACTCCCTCAATTCCTCCACCTTCCCCCCCCCCCCCCCCCCGCTCCCCTCCTGCCTGAAAACCTTCCTCTTTTACCTTCCCTCCCTCTCCCCCTGACTCGGAGCAAGTTGTTGTTGTTGGAGAGGTTTTATAGAATATTATAGAACAGAAGGAGGCCATTCGGCCCATCGTATCTGTGCTGGCCCTTTGAATAAGCTATCCAACTAGTCCCACTACAACGCTCTTATCCCATAGCCCTGCAAATTTTTCCTTTTTAGTTACCTATCCAGTTCCCTTTTGAAATGTGTTATTGAATCTGCTTGCACCACCCGTTCAGCCAGTGCATTCCAGACTGTAACAACTCTGCGTTTAAAAAAAAAAGAAAAAAAAAATGTCCTTGTCACCCCTCTGGTTCTTTTGCCAATTATCTTAAATCTATGTACTCTGGTTACTGACCCACCCCACCAGTGGAAACAGTTTCTGCCTATCTATTATCAAAACCCCTCTATTAAATCTCCCCTTAGCCATCTCTGCCAAAAGATGAACAATCCCTGATGCCTTAACAAGAGGGGCCTTTTACTTTGACAGCGAGATGTGCTCTGGCCTCTGGCACAGAGAGAGAGAAAACAGCCAGCAAATTGCACATTTTAAATGCTGGTTTTGCAACGGCAAAACTCGGCGCATTTCCATTTGCTTTTCACCATCCAGCTAGATGGCAATGAAATGCTTTCTCTTATGCTGTTAGCTTCAAGTTATGTTGAAGAGAATTGTCCCTTGTTAGCAATCCTCATTTTGAATTGAGTTTTGTTTTCGGGGAGGGGGGAAGAGAGGAGATATAGGAGGAAAGGGGATATGGGGAGGATGTTGAACACATATTTCCTCTGCCAATTTCCTTTGACTTGGAGCATCACTTCCCTTCCATATTAAAGCCGCGTAGCTTGTCATTGATATGGCTGTCTGCCAAGCTTTCCTGCTGCTTGTCCAGCTCGGACCACCCTACCCGTTAGAGCTTTGGCTTGCAGAGCTGAGTGGGATGACTCCCTGACCCCAGTGAGAGAGAGTGGGGAGGAGGGGAAGAGAATAAGAGAAAGACAGACTATTTTGTGATTTGTAATCATATTTTTCTTTTGGCAAAGCCTGATTTTAAAAAAAAAAGGATTGTTTTGCTGCCAAATCAAATGAAACTTGATTTAATTCATCAGATCTGAATACTGTTTTTAATAATGATAATCCTTGCATTGATATAGCGCCTTATCACATGGTTGAGACAACAACAAATTACATTTGTATAACCGCCACAAAGGGCTTCGGAGAATATATTTAAAGTGGAGTGACTGCGTATTTTGTGGGCTAAACGCGGCAGCTAATTACACACAGCAGTGTCCCACAAACAGTCATGGATTGAGGACCAGATTTTTTTTGAGGAATTATTACCCCGAAAGCGATCCACCGATCGACTAACAACCGGGTTCCTTCTTACTGCTAGGTAAGCAGAGGCGTGTGGAGTAAGGAAACTCGCCTCAGGTTTACTTAATATACTGAAAGACAGTTTAGGCAGAATTTAATCTCTTTCATTTCTGCTGCTGTCATGTTAAAGGGGGAGTCAATCTCAGGCTGTTGCATTGTTTGGAACGCCCCCTTGTGCCTGTGAAATCATTTCATTCATCAATGTAATGGCACCACGTGTGGGATATATTTTGTACTACAATATTTACATTTATAACGCGTGACTTTTCTCTGTCTCTCTNCCCCCCCTCCCCACTCTCCCCTCCCCCCCACATCACAGTCAACACCAAATAAGATCGCATAACTTAAATCAACTTGTTACTTCTTAAATATTTAGATTAATTGTCTCGGTGGGGCAGGAAGACAGAATGTAGTAAATTATTTGATAAATGGTTTGATTTACAATATTAATCCATTCATTTGATACATTCCTTGCATTTGGAAAACAGTTAGTGCCTTATCACGTCGTTGAGACATCTCAAAGCGCTTCACAGAATATCCTGTGAGATGAATTGACTGTATATTTTGCGGCAAAACGTGGCAGCCAATTGCGCACAGCAGGGTCCTAAAACAGTTGTGGATGACCCAATAGTTTTATTTGGTCAGGAATTATTACCGCTGGAAAGTGATCTGCCAATCGACTAACACAATCGACTACTGACTTGCTGCTAGGTAAATAGAGGGGTGTGTGTGGGGGAAGCAAACTTACCTAAGGTTTGGACCTGCCTGGGAATCGAACATGGGTCCTTTCACTTGCAAGGCGATCTTGGCTTTTTATGCTGCAATTTTATAGTAACAGAAAATCACACGGGATTGCTGTTGAGTGCTGGAGGGGTGGTATTTGTAGTCAAGTAGGGCAGTGTCCATCTTTTAACGTCCATCTGAACAGTGAGACAGCACCTCATATGATGCATCATCCAACAATGCAGCGCTCCCCCATGAGATGAGAAAGTTGAGGGTGATCTGATTGAGGTGTTTAACATAATAAAGGGATTCGATATAGTAGTTACAGGGGAACTATTTTCTCTGGTGGGGGAATCCAGAACAAGATGGCATCATCTTAAAATTAGAACTAGGCCATTTAGGAGTGAAATCAGGAGGCATTTTTTCACACAGAGGGTAGTGGAAATCAGCTTTTAAACTGTCATAGGCTGACACAAATGCAAAAGATTTAATTTGTTCACTTATGCCCAGAGCTATCAGCCATAGTGAAAACCAGCTGGAAACAGCAACCGCTCAATGCATTGGCTGACAATTTGCATGCAACCAGGCCCTCCGCACATAGCCGGACGATTTTAGGCCAGGAAACACGGAGAAACTCCTTTGTGATTGCATCATAGGATGTTTAATGTCGTCTCAATTTTATGTCATCACCCAAATGTTGCCTCAATTGCTGTATAAGTGGCTCTGGGCTGTGAATGCTGCATCCATTCACATTTTCAAGACTGAGGTGGATAGATTTTTGTTAGGTCAGAGTATACAGTCAATTCACTTTCCGCTATATTCTGTGAAGCGTCTTGAACACGTGATAAGGTGCTATATCAAATGCAAGGATTATTATCTTTAAGTGATATCGGGCAAAGGTGGGTAATCGGTAATAGAATGGTGGAACAGGCTTGAGGGGCTGAATGGCCTCCTGTGCCTATGTTCCTACTACCCTGGAGCATCACCATCATGAACTCAAAGTCTCTGGAGCAGGGTCTGAAGGTCCCATGACATTATTTGAAAAGAGAATTTTATCTCTCAAAATCACTCCTGGCTGTTTGCAGGACGCTGCTGCGTTCACCTGCAAAAGGCATTTTTTGCTGAATCCTGTGGAACGCTTTGAGGTGTCCTCCTGCTGTGGCATTGTGTCAAAAACAACAACAAAGTACATTTACGCAGCAGTGCCTTTATGCAGTGCCAAAGCGCTGGACAGTCAGGGATTTGCACCGAGCTGAGGTTTGGGATCAGGAAGGGTGGAGGGCAGGGAGGGTGCGGGTGAGAGGGTGATTGAAGGCTCAGTCGAAGAGGAAGGTCTTGAAGAAGGCAAGGGAGTGGACGAGACAAAGTGACTGTGGAATGGAGTTCCAAAGGGTATCAAATACAAGGATTCCTTAACCCACAGGATTCGTGAGCCTGCTCTGCACTGTTCCTTTTTATTTAACAAAATCAAACTCACTCTGAATTCACACCACCTTTTTTCCCCACAGTTCCCCAAGCCCTGATGGATCTTCACTTGAAGTTGATGAGGAAGATTGGCAAGTCTGTGAGCATCGACCGCTGGGAAAAATACCTCCTCAAGGTGAGAGGCTTATTAATGCTGAGAAGGTTCAAGTTGCTTGCACAAGTGCTCCAGGAAGCTGCCCCGCGTAAAGGATGCTATATAAATGCAAGTTGTTGTGTGGGCAGAGGGTTATTGAAAGATATGAAATTCTTGAAAGAAAAATTCATTAAACAAAATCTATCAATCAGTTTAACTCTGATAATATATATAATTCTTGCATTTTGTTGTAGTGCCTTATTACATCGTCGAGACATCTCAAGTCGCTTCACAGAATGTACAGTTAAGTGGAGTGACCGTATTTTGTGAGTGAAACGCAGCATCCAGTTACGCACAGCATATTCTGTGAAGCACCTTGAGACAATCTCGAAGATGTAATAAGGCGCTATGTCAAATGCAGTGATTATTATCATTATTGATGGGCTGGGCCAATATCGCTGAACAGACTATTGTGGCTTCAGTGGAAACTTGTAAGACTAAACAAATTTGTTTGTGAAATGCCTAAGTATATATTTTCTTTGCTAGATTTGTCAGGAGTACAACAGTACGTGGGCCTGGGAGATGGAGAAAATTGGATACACAGAGATGGATGCCGAATGCAAACTTGGTCTTTTAAAGGTAACTTGCAAGCTATTGGAGCTTCTCTTATAGGCATTGTGATCAGACATTCAACTGAAGTCCTTTGTATGCTGTTCATGGTAACGCTGCAGATGTGCAGACCTGTAACATAGTTTTTAGCATATTCGTCTCACAATCGAGAGAACCCGGGTTTGATTCCCAGATGTGGCGAAACCTTAGGCAAGTTACCTTCTAAATTTGTTCGCTCAACTACAGCTGTTTGTAGCATACTGCTGTGCACAATTGGCTGCTGTGTTTCGTGTACAAATGCACTTTATAATATCTTCCCTGAAGCGCTTTGAGACATCTTGATGACGTGATGAGGCACTGTATCAAATGGAAGAATTGTTATTATAACCTTACTGCGATCCTGTGGAGCTATTCGAAAAGAAGAGGGAGTCTCTCTCTCCTCATGTCCTGGTTGACAGTCTTCCCCAAATAAAAGTGGTCACTCACTCCAATGGCTGTTTGTGGGACATTGCCGTGGGCAGATTGTTCCCCAGCAGCAGTCTCAAACCTCGTCTAGTGTTTTAGAATAATAATAATATAATAATAATCATACTTGCATTTAAGCTGGCGCCTTATCATGTCGTCGCGACATCTCAAAGCACAACGAATATATTGTGAAGTGGGAGAAACGCGGCAGCCAATTAACAGTCATGGGTTGAGTGACCAAATTATTACTCCTGGAAAGCAATCTACCAATCGACTAACAACCAGGTTTCTACTTACTGCTAGGTAAACAGGTGTGGAGTAAGGAAACTTGCCTAAGGTTTCACCACGCTCAAGAATCGAACCTGGGTCCTCTCGCTTATTGTTGTTATTAGAATGCATTATGACAAATGAGATGTCAAAGCCAAGTTCCGAGCCGTTTTTAACGGTCAGCTGTGTGTCTGACACTCGTGGGAACAAATCACCATTTTTAAGAGTATGCAAACGAGACTGACAAATCTCCATGTGTATGCCGCCTACAAGTAAAAATTCCCACGTCTGGAATGAATGCACTCTCTCTCTCTCTCTCTCTCTCGTGCCTAATCGATTTACCCTATCCTGGAGAATTAGACACATAATATATTTGAGGGCTACACGTGGTTAGCCAATTGCGGACAGAAGTGTCCCACAAACGGTCATGGATTGAGTGACCGCATTTTTTCTTTTTTTGGAGGGATTTTTAGCCCCGTAAAGCGATTCACCAATTGATGAACAACCGCGCTCCTACTTACTTGTGCCTCGATGAGAAATTACACTGAGATAGTAAATAATAATAATCCTTGCATTTGATATAGCTCCTTATCACATCTTCAAGACATATCAAGATGCTGCACAGAATATGCTGTAAAGTGAATTGGCTGTATTTTGTGGGTGAGATGCCTGTACAGTGCCTTCTCTAACCCTGCCGTGCTCTGTTTGGTGCAGTATCTGTGCGAGTGCCAGTTTGACGATAACATGAAGTTCAAGACTGCGTTGAATGATGAGGAGCCGGACGCCATGCGGGTTCTTCCCATTGGGCGTGACAAGGATGGCTTGATGTACTGGTATCAGCTGGATCAGGAGTATAACGTGCGGGTGTACACAGAGGAACAAGACGATCAAGATAGTGCTTCCTGGAGTCTCATTGTCAGGTACAGTTATGTGTTTATTTAATAATAATTAATTGATTTAATTTTTTTGGAATGGCTTATTGCACCCTGAAAGCGATCTGCCAATCGACTAACAACCAGGTCCCTACTTACTGCTAGGCGTGTGTGTGGAGTAAGGAAATTTGGCTACGGTTTCTCCTGCTCGGGAATCGAACCCAGGTCATCTCGCTTGCGAGGCGAACAAGCTAACCACTACACTACAGGACACCTCTAATACTGCGCTGGTGGTTTTCTCTGCCTCATGCAGGGTGCTGGCTCAGTTGGTAGCACTCACCTCCGTACGTTCAGGTTCCTATGTACTTCAAGACTTTGAACTCACATAGTCTCTAGGTGATGCTCCAATACTGTGCTTGGTGGGGTTGCATTGTCAGAGTCGCTGTGCTTCAGCTGAGACATCAGACCTTGGTTCTGTTTACACCTGTTCAAGTGGATTTATCCAAATCCTTAACTCTCCAGTGGCTTGGGACGTCGTCCTGACATGAGAGCAGCTATATAAATTTAATTTGTTGTCCTATAAAATGTTCTCTCCCTCAGTAACAAGGCTCTGACCATCAATGAACTCATTGTTGACGAAAATATCAACATCATGGCCCTCACTGAAACCTGGATCACCCCAGGTGACACCTTCCCCCTCACTGAAGCCACACCACGTACCAACCTCCGTGGTGGTGGTGTGGCCCTCGTCTCCAGGACCTCATTGGCTGCCGCGTTTGCCCACAAATATAGTCAATTCACTTTACAGTATATGCTGTGAAGCGCTTTGGGACGTCTAGAAGACGTGAAAAGCGCTATATCAAATGCAAGGGTTATTATTATTACCCGCATTCGGGCACCTTACACTCTACCATCCTTTCAATCTTTCCCTCAAAATTCTCATTTGCACCTCCCCAAAACCTCTCTCACCTTCATCTCTAATGTCTCCACCCTCCTAGCTTCCCTCTGCCTCTGTTCTGCACGCCCCCTCATCCTCGGCGACTTCAACCTTCACTTCACTCCTCCTGCTCTGTCTCCTCGGACCTCTCCTCTCTCCCTCTCCTCTCACAACCTCTCCCTCCACATCCACTCTGCCACCCACTTTAATGGCCACCCACTCGACCTGGTGTTCACCCAGGGCCTCAGTGTCTCAGATATCATAATCACAGACAAGTCATCTTCGATCACCATTTCTCTCATGCCCTTAAAAACAGCTATGATGTTCACCTCCCTGTCCCCCTGGCTCATTGTCAGACTCTGCCACTGTGAATCACTCCGGGATGCTACCCTGGGTGAAGGGCGCTGTATAAGTGCAAGTTGTTGTATATCAAATGCAAGGATTATTATGTGAATTCAAGCCAGGTGTTGGGGACTGACTGCGCTGTAGGCCACCTGCCTGCTATCAGGCTCCACCTCGATTGATGTAAAATGTCTTGAGATGATTATCCGATGGCATGAGCTAGTAATTGCGGCTCTGTGTGTGTGAATGAGTTGCCTGCATTTTTCCTCTCCAGGGACCGGAATGAGTTGGCTGAAATGCTTCAGCTGCTGAAAGCCCAGATCGACCCTGCGCTGCTCACCAAGCTCGTGCAGGAGGACGGGTCCTCCCGAACCAGCCCCACCTCCGACGACGAAGAGCAAAAGAAAGTGATGGAGGAGGCCCTCGAAGGTAACTCAGAATAAACTCTCTCGCATGACGTTCCAGCAGAACCATGGTCCCTCCCTCCACTCTGCATAACCTGCCGTCACCACGCTTTAAAGAGTCCTTCGACATAGTGGTTAGCGCTCCCGCCTCGCGAGTGAGACGACCCAAGTTTGATTCCTGGGCGGGGCGAAACCTTAATAATAATGATAATCCTCACATTTGATATAGCACCTTATCATGTCTTTGAGACGTCTCAAAACGCTTCAAAGGTTAAGTGTAATTGCTATGCGGTTAAATTTAGGCAAGTTTCCTTATTCCACACACTTCTGTTTAGCTAGCAGTGAGTAGGATTTGTGGGGTAATAATTCCCCCCCCCACCCCCCAAAATATGGTCACTCTTTCGATGACGGTTTACGGGAACCTGATGTGCGCAATTGGCTGGTGTGTTTTGCCCACAAAATATACAGGCAATCCACAGTATATTTTGTGAAGCGCTTTGAAACGTCCTCCTGATATGAAAGGCGCTATAAAAAATGCGGGGATTATTTATTATTATTGTTATCAGCACGCCAATATGCTCGCTTATCCGCATCAAGAGGAAAGATGCCAGCAATAAAACAACAACAATTTCAAGCGGGGTAGCGTCCCGGGGCGCTATATAATAAAATGCTGTTCAAAACTTTCCTTCTTGCGTAGGGTAACTTGGGATGGAGTTTACCCCCGTATAACTGCAGGTAGCTAAAAGGTGAATGTTTCCTTACTGTATGTAGGGGCTGTCTTGGCTGCAGAATGTCAGAATCGATCCAGCCCTCTGTGGTGGTCTCTAGTCCGGTTCATGAGCCAGGCCATCTGCAGTACTCCACTGTCAAGCGCTCTGGGGCGCTCCCCTGACGCTTGACGCTGTGCAAATGCAATTTTTGTTTTAAGAATTATTAAATAATCTTGTTTTTTTAAAAAAACTGAACAGGGGATATAAAGATTGAGAATAAGGACCCAGAGGAGAAGAAAGAAGGACTAGAAATGGAGGTGGAGTACAAACCAGCAGATCCTCCGACCTCCACCTCTCCTGAAGGAAGTGAAGCAGGACGGGCAACGAAGGCGGAGGGTGAAGGGGGCTCCAGGCTGGAGCAGGAGGTCAAGACAGAAGGGCCTCCGTCTGAGAGCCAGGAGGACAGGAGATTGGGGCAGCCCAAAGTGGAGAGTGCTGAGAAGGACAAAGCCACTCTAGGAGTGAAGCAGGAGGAGGTGGTAGAGTGGCCGAGCGTGAAGGGTTTTGGAAACACTGAGTGCCCGAGGGCGTCTGAGGGTGATAAGCTGGAAATCAGCATCAAGGTGGAGCCTCCTGACGAGGTGAAGCAGACCCCTGAAGAGTTGGAGCGAGCTCTGAAGAACGTCAAGCAAGCCAAACTCCCCGTTAAGAAGAGGGAGATTAAACTAACGGAGGATTTCGACAGCCCCCCGCCTCCGGGCACCAGAGCCCCGGTCAGAGAGAGGCCAAAAACCGAGGGGGTGCAGCCAGCAGCAGCCGCAGAGAAACCGGCCCCCGAGAAGCAGCTGGTGAACGGCGAGACCCCCCCTGCCCCACAAATCATAAACCGTGGGAAAATCCAGGCGGAGGTTCCGCTGGCGGGGAAGGCTGAATGGAAGAACGACCCCAGGCAAGATCCGGGCACCGTGTGCCCACCACTTGCCGGCCCACCAAGAGAAGAGGAAAATGGCATTGATGTGTCGGCTGGTGAGGGTTCACTCCCCCTCGCGCTCGCTCTGGGGCAAAATCAGACCGTTGAGAACTGTGCGGGTAAGGACGAGGCGGTCTCTGGGCCCGGGGAGCGGGTCTCTGGGCCCGGGGAGCGGGTCTCTGGGCCCGGGGAGCGGGTCTCTGGGCCCGGGGAGCGGGTCTCTGGGCTCGGGGAGCGGGTCTCTGGGCCCGGGGAGCGGGTCTCTGGGCCCGGGGAGCGGGTCTCTGGGCCCGGGGAGCGGGTCTCTGGGCCCGGGGAGCGGGTCTCTGGGCCCGGGGAGCGGGTCTCTGGGCCCGGGGAGCGGGTCTCTGGGCCCGGGGAGCGGGTCTCTGGGCCCGGGGAGCGGGTCTCTGGGCCCGGGGAGCGGGTCTCTGGGCCCGGGGAGCGGGTCTCTGGGCCCGGGGAGCGGGTCTCTGGGCCCGGGGAGCGGGTCTCTGGGCCCGGGGAGCGGGTCTCTGGGCCTGGGGAGGATGATTCGGACCAGGTCAAGGAAGGTTCAACTCACGCCAAGGGTCAGGACAAAAGTGATTCAGATGAGGTCAAAAGTCAGAACAAGGATCATTCAGACCAGGTGAAGGATCAAGCCAGGAGTGAATTGGAGCTGGTCAAGGGTGAAGTTGAGGGTGATATAGACCAGGTCAAGAGTCAGGCCAAAGAAGGTACAGATGAGGCCAAGAGTGATTCAGACCAGGCCAAAGGTGTCTCGGGTCAGGACAAAGGTTTTGCAGACCCGCAGAAGGACCAGGTTGAGGCTGTTCTGGACCAGGATGGGCCAAGTAAAGAAGCTTTTGCAAAACACGACCAGGAAGACTCGCCAAAGAGCTCCGCAGAACTCACGCCCTGCGTCAGCGTGGCATCCGAGCAACAGAAAGAAACTGAGGCCAAAGATGTGAAGGAAAGTGAGGTCAGGATCTCGGCCAGGAGAACGAGGGCCTCGCTGAGGCCGCGGGTTCAGGAGCGGGACTCGGAGGTAGAGGTCAGCCAGCGGGGCGAGGAGAGGCCAGAGTCCGAGCCCAGCGAGGGAAGGTGCTTGCGGAGGTCTGTGCGGATCTCTAAACCCACGGTCAAGGTGACAGAGAATCAGGAGAAGAGAGGTGGCAGGAAGGCTGGTGAGGACTCCGTGCCGCCCAGCCCCTCGGACAAGGGTGAGGAACTAAGGAAGGGGGAGAAAGAGATACCCACGTCTCGAGGAACCAAGGTAAGCCACCAACACGATTGATACAGAGCATAAACTGTCAGCTCTGCACTGCTGCTTGTATTAATATTAATAATAATCCTTGCATTTGATATAGCGCCTTATCACATCTTCGAGACTTCTGAAAGTACTTCACAGAATATTCTGTAAAGTTAATTGACTGTATATGTTGTGCCCAAATTAATTGGTAGACACAAATTAAGGTAGGGTCGATTTATAAGGAGTTTACAGTATTACGGAGTCCTGTAGCTCAGTGGTTAGAGCACTCGCCTCGTAAGCGAGAGGACCCGGGTTTGATTCCTGCGCAGGGCGAAACATTACTCCACATGCCTCTGTTTACCTAGCAGTAAGTAGGGACCTGGTTGTTAGTCGAATAACAGATCCAGTCATAATTCCTTCTTGAAAAAAAACATAATTTGGTTGCTCAATCCAGACTGTTAGTTGCACACTATTGTGTGCAATTGGCTGTCGCGTTTCGCCCATAAAATCCGCAGTCAATTCTCTACCATATTATGTGAAGTGCTTTGCGACATCTCAACGACTTGATAAGTCGTTGACCTGTATTTCAAATGCAAAGCGCAAGGACTACATCAAATGTAAGGATTATTATTATAAAGCAACTCATTTATCGAATAATTTGCTACATTCCGTTTTTTTTACCCCCCCCCCCCCCCGCAAGATGATCATTCCAAATATTTAAGAGATACAAGTTGATTTCCGCGATATTGGCAGCATGATGATTTAAGTGGTAGTGAGAAGTTAAGCCAGGGTCAAGCTATCGAGAACTCTGGAACTCTCTTCGCCCATCCCCCCGCCTTGTCTCCTTCCCTCTCTTCCCACCTTCAAATCCCGCCTAAAGACCTTCCTTTTTTTTATCGTGCCTTCAATCACTTCCCGCCTCCCTCTCCCCCTGGCTCAGGGTCACATTCCACCACTGTGAAGCACTTCGGGACACCACCTCGTGTGACGGGCGCTGCATAAATGCAAGTGGTTGATTACTGTATTATTATGACCACTGGAGTGTGTTCGGGGAGGGGATTGGAATCAGCCTGACCTCACAATCTGAACTGTTCATCACCAGCGTAAGACGAAAGGCAGGAGGAGAGCGAGGTGGACCAAATCCAGAAGCAGGCGCCGACGGCAGGAATCCAGCGAGGAGAGCGAGAGCGAGGAAGAGGAGGAAGAGGAAAATGAGCAGGAAGAAGCAGCAGAGGATGACGAGCCCTGTAAAAAGTGTGGCCTCTCCAACCACCCTGAACTGGTGAGTCACTGGGGGCAGGGAATCATCGCACTGATCCCCATCCCCTGTTCTCTCTCTCTCTCCTCATCATGTCTGTGCTGGTGCTCGCTCTCCCACTGGAGCTCTCTAATCCCATTTCCTACTCTCTCCCTATCGTGTATGCACTGGTGCTCAATGCCCCATTGGAGCTCTTTACATACAGTGTCAATGTCTTGGCAAGACATTCTGACAGTCGTGTTTTTTTATATGCTGCATTGTCAAGTCCTGTAACTCAGTGGTTAAAGCACTCGCCTCACAAGTGAGAGGACCTGGGTTTGATTCCTGGGCAGGACGAAACATTGGGCAAGTTTCCTTACTCCACACACCTTTGTTCACCTAACATTAAGTGAGAACCTGGTTGTTAGTCGATTGGTGGATCACTTTTCCAGGGAAAACCATCCCTACAAAAAAATTAGTAATAATAATTTGGTCACTCAATTCACAACTGTTTCTGGGTCACTGCTGTGTGCAATTGACAGGCGCTTTTCGCCCACAAAATATACACAGGACATCCTGTGAAGCGCTTTAAGATGTCTGGAAGACATGAAAAGGCGCTATATCAAATGCAGGCTTTCCTATTCTATATATCTTTGAAAAACAACTCCCTTTTTTGTCTTGAAATTATCTTTAATCGATACAGTACAATTTTGTATTATTATACAGTACAATTTGCATGGATTAATATAGCTCTCCTTGGAGCATAGAAGGTTAAGAGGAGACTTAATAGAAGTTTTCAAAATTATGAGGAAATTCGATAGGATGAAAAAAAGAGAAACTGTTTCCACTGGCGGGTGGGTCGGTAACCCGGGGACACCGATTTTAAATAGTTGTTAAAAGAAACAGAGGGGAGGTGAGGAGAAATGTTTACACATGGCGAGTTGTCCGGATCTGGCATGAAACGATGGTGGAAGCCGATTCGATAACAACTTTTAAGAGAGAAGCAGATAATTATTTGAGGAGGACAAGTTTGCAGGGCTGGAGTGAGCGGGGGAGTGGGATTGATTTGGATAGCTCTTTTAAAAGAGCCGGCACAGACACCATGGGTTGAATGGCCTCCTTCTGGGTGTATAATTCTATTGACGTTAGGAGGACACCTCAAAGTCCTTTACAGGATTTTCCTGTCAGTGAAAGTTTCTCTCCCTGTTCGGAACAGGCCTACCTCTGTGACCTTCTAACTCAATGTCAACTGTACTCACCCTCCGCTCTGCGGCCTGCTCCACGTTCTCCGACCAGCCCACCATACCATCGGCAGTTGGGTTTTCAGCCTCTCTGGCCCCACCCTCTGGAACTTCATCCCACAGTTTCTTTGCCTCAATTCCTATTGTGCTTTGTTCAAGGCACGACTCAAGACCCTCCGTGCCTTCAGTCACCCTCCTACCACTCTTCCTGATTTCAACCCCCAGCCCTCCACTCCTCCTGATCCACACCTGCTCTTCACTCTTGGTCCCAACCGCCAGCTGGGATTCAAGCCCTTTACTGTCCAGTGCCTTTGGACGTGAAAGTCGTTGTGTAAATGTAATACGTAGTTGTTGTGTTGTGGTTTTCATGATATCAAACCTTTCTCTAGATCCTGTTGTGTGACTCCTGTGACAGTGGCTATCACACAGCGTGCCTACGCCCTCCACTCATGACCATCCCAGACGGAGAATGGTTTTGTCCGCCCTGTCAGCATGTAAGCTCTCTTTTTCTTCATTAGACTACGTCTCTGTTTACCTAGCAGTAAGTAGGAATCTAACTGTTGTTTGTTGATTGGTGGATCGCTTCTCCAGGGGGTAATAATTCCTTTAAAAAATTAATAATTTGGTCACTCAATCCACGACTGTTTGTGGCACACTCAAGACCCTCTGTGCCTTCAGTCTAAGCGCAATTGGCTGCCGCGTTTCGCCCACAAAATATGCAGTCAATTCACTTCACAGTATATTCTGTGAAGGGCCTTGAGACGTCTCGCAGTTGTAATAAGGCGCTTTATCAAATGCAAGGATTTTTATTATTTACCTGTCACTGCATGTGCACTTACTGGATGCAGTGAATTACCCATGCGCAGTGTAGATTGTTGATTAAATCGGATTTCATACAACTTGTACAGTCTTGCCTGCAACTTAGACAGTTGTAAGTCATATTAAATGTTATGATCCCAACTGATGTGTGTTTTACTGTATTTAGTCACTGATGAGATGAGTCAGGTTTCAGCCCCGCAGTTTTTATTTAAAGAAAAGTTTTAAAATCCTGAACGCTTTTTAATTCTGATGTTGTCGGCAGAAATTTCTGTGCGAGAAACTGGAGGAACAACTGCAGAACCTGGACGTGATGATAAAAAAGAAGGAAAGAGCCGAGAGGAGGTGAGGAACCTGAGCAAAAGTCTGAAGCTGAACTGCTTTCACAAGCTGTGGGCGTGCGCATGTATGTGGCGGGGGAGGAGAGGCGTGGTATACGTAGGGCTGCATGCCTCCCTATGGGAGGAACCCAGTAGTGCATGGGTGATAGAGGGGATGCATGATTGGATCGGTGCACAGGTGGGGTGGGGGGAGCTGTGTGTGGCTGTTTGCTGTATGCGTGGCATGAGGATGGGTGATTATGCACATGTGGGAGGGACTGAGGTTGCTTGTATTGTGAGGACGGGCAGGGCGGCTGTGCATGGTTGGGAGATAATGTGCTTTATAACGCCGGTAGTAACCAGCAGATTCTCTCTCCCTCCTTCATCATCTTTTTGTCTCTTTATGTCTATCTCTCTCTCTCTTACTCTTGTCTCTGTCGGCCACTGTCTGTCGGCCACTGTCTGTCGGTCGGTCTGTCGGCCACTGTCTGTCTGTCTCTCTGTCTGTCTCTCTCTCTGTCTGTCTCTCTGTCTGTCTCTCTGTCTCTTTCTCTGTCTCTCTTTCCAGGAAAGAGAGGTTGGCGTTCGTGGGCATTAACATTGAAAATATCATAACTCCAAAAGTAAGTGGACTTTAAACCCGGGGTGATACGTTAGCTGGTAAGATTAGTCATACTGTTTACAGAGCATCTGAGCAAAACTAAACCCCACACTGGTTTAAACCTCAGCCTGGCTCAGTCTCAGTCTCACTCCGAATCTGAAGGTTGTGTGCTCAAGCCCCAATACTGGGAGCTTGAGCTCAGTCTAGGCTGACACTCCAGTACAGCACTAGGGGAGTGCTGCATTGTCGGAGATACCGTTCTTCAGTTGAGATGTTAAAGTGAGGTCAGCACCTCGGGACGTCCTCCTGGTGAAAGGCGCTATACAAATGTAATTTGTTGTTGAGGTGAAATTTGTGCATGCACAGTAATAATTCTTACATTTTGTATAGAGCCTTTCACATCAAGAGGATGTCTCAAACTACTTTGCAGAATATACTGTAAATGCAGTAACTGTACCTTGTAGATAATTATCACAGTGAGCACAAACCACACTGGTCTCACTCCCACATAGCCCACATAAAGGCCTGGGTTTCTCTCACTCTCTCTGTCCTGCCTGACAATCCCCCACATACAATTGGTCAATCACTTCATGGCTGTTTATGGGACTTTGCTGTGCACAAATTGACTGCCGCATTCACCAACTATGTACACAGTCACTCCACTTTACAGTGTGTCAGCCTGGCTCAGTGGTCAATCAGTGCTGGGAGGGTGTTGCATTGTCGGAGGTGCCATACTTTGGTGAGACGTTAAACCGGGCCCCGTCTGCCTGTTCAGGTGGCCGTTAAAGATCCTATGGCTCTATTTGAAAGGATAAGGGAGTTTCTCTCTCGGTTTCCTGGCCGATAAATTCCCCAAATAAAACTGGTCACTCACTCCAGAACCGTTTGTGGAACACTGCTGTGGGCAAAATTGGCTGCCGCGTTTCACCCACAAAATACAGTCACTCCACTTTACAGTATATCCTGTGAACCACTTTGAGGTGTCTCGGTGTTGCAATAAGGCTCTATATCAAATACAAGTTTTATTATATCCTTTGATATAACAGCATAAAAGACATTACATCAGCTTTCAGGTCATGCCAGACATTTTGAAAATTGCTGATATTTTAAGACAATGTCGTTATGGCTGAGACTAGTACATAGTTCAGCAAAGTGGTACTGTTGAGCAAAGTGGTATTTCAGGCGATCTGGGATGCTACACTGCGGGAGAGGCACAATATAAATGCAAGTTGTTGCTGCTGCAATACTGGGTACCAACCATTAGAGGTGAACATTAAGTATTGCAGGTGATATATCTTGTGCGCTAATTTTCCAACCGTGATAACTTTACGTGCATAATAATAATAATTGATGGATTTGATATAACGCCTTATCACGTCGTCGAGACATCACTGTAAAGTGTAGTGATTGACTTTACTGTGAAGTCTAGACCAAGGCAGCTGCCAGTCTATATACCCCGGGGAAGTATCGGATAGAGCATGAGAAGCGAAAATTTGGATTTTCGCTTATAATTTTGCTAATGTTCCTGATTTCCTCCCCAACCCCCAGGATGAAATACCTGAAGAGCCAGAAATTAAAGATGTCAAATTATTGGAAAGGAGATCAGGAAGAGCCCGGAGATCCATCAATTATAGGTAAGGCAATCACTGCTCACACTGCTGAGGTACACATCAGCCATGATCTCACAGAATAGGCTATGTTCCTATAACAGACTCAAGGGGCTGAATGGCCTACTCCCATTTCTATGGGAGGTGGTAGTTGAGGCGTACAAACAGTGCACTATCGAGTTATATTAAGGTGATATAATATTGGGTTTCCACGTTTGTCAGATACCTGACTGATCATAGTGACGGGTTTCCTTGTGTGCCAGACACCCAGCTAATCACGGTGATGGGTTTCCGTGTGGGTCAGACACCAGCCTGATTATGGTGGCGGGTTTCTACCCGAGTCAGTATTTCCCCTGGAGTTTAGAAGTTTGGGGGCTGATTTAATTGAGCTTTTTAAAATAATAAAGATATTTCTTCTGGTGTGGGAGTCCAGAACAGGTGGGGGCATCATCTTAAAATTGGAGCCAGGCCATTTAGGAGTGAAATCAAGAGGCAATTTTTCACACAAAGGATAGTGGAAATTTGGAAATCTTCGCCCAAAAGCCTGTGGATAGATGTTTGTTAGGTCAGGGTATCAAGTAACATGGGGCAAAGGTGGGTAATTGAAGTTGAGGTACAGATTAGCCATGATTTTAAAGAATGGAGGAACAGGCTTGATGGGCTGAATGACCTCCTCCTGTTCCTATATCAGACACCCATCTGACCAAAAAAGAAAATTCTGAAGCTTCTTAGCTTCTTTCTCTGAATGACTGTATTTGTGCTGTGGGATTTTCTGTGTAATCGACACGTAAAGCTATGGGGACAACTAACCCTTTGCCCTGTTCTAGGTTTGATGACTTTGATGAAGCGATTGATGAAGCAATACAAGAGGATCTGCAAGAGGCGGAGGGCAAAGGTCAGTGGCCGGCAGGAGAACTCACTTTGGTTTATCCTCCCCCCACAACCATGTTCCTCCCAGTAGGCTAACTAAACAGAGATGTGTGGGGTAATGAATCTTGCCTCGGGTTACATAAGTAATGCTAGATGAAAGAAACCAAGGTGCATCCAGTTTGCCTTCTACCATCCTAGCAATCATCAGGTTTCTCCCTGTTCGGGAATCAAACTGGTTCGCTTGTGAGGTGAACACTACCACTCCACGAGTCCTGTAGTGTATTAGTGTGTCTGTATTGTATTAGCATCCTCCTGGTATAGCAAATGTGTGTGTCAGCTAGGCTTAGTTGGTAGCATTCTTGTATCTGAATCAGAAGTTTGTGGGTTCTGCACTATAATCAAATGCGATAATAATCCTTGCATCTGATTTGAGACGTCTTTGAGATGGCTCAAAGTGCTTCACAGAATATACTGTAAAGTGAATTGACTATTTTGTGGATGGAATGCGGCAGCTAATTGCGCACAGCAGCGTCCCACAAACAGTCGTGGATTGAGTGACCAAATTATTATTTAGTTTTGTTTTGAAGGGATTTCCCCCGGTAAAGTGATCTGTCAATCGACTAACAACCAGGTTCTTACTTACTGATAAGTAAATAGAGAAGTGTGGAGTAAGGAAACTTGCCTAAGGTTTCGCCCTGTCTCGCCCAGGAATTGAACCCGGGTTCTCTCGCTGATGAGGCGAGTGCTCTAACCTCTACGCTACAGGACTCTTTCCACATTGTAATGTAAAATGTAATGGTGATTTTGAATGATGTTTGAACAGGCGCTGGCAAAGGCAAGGACATGTCCAACATCACGGGGCAGTCTCTGGGGAAGGATATCTCCACCATCCTGGCGGAGGCCAAGGAAAGCAAGAGGCCCTCCCGAGCGGCCGCCTGCAGGCGTAAGAAACGGCGACGACTGAACGACCTGGACAGCGAGAGCACGGCTGAGAGCGAGGAGAGCGAGGACGAGTTCCGCATCAGTGAGAGGTACGGCAGCCAGTATCTTCTGTAAAGTGTTTGAAACATCTCACTAATGTGATAAGGCACTGTATCAAACATACTGATGGCCAGGCTGTCTTCAGTCTGGAGATTAGTTGGGGGTTGGGGGTGGGGGCTGGAGGTTACTTGGGGTGAGGGGGGCGTATTTGGCATGCAAACGGGCCGGGTGCTGGTCATGGTTATTAGTTAACTCTTATTGAAGTGTTGACAGGGAACGGTGAGGGTTCTGACAGCCATGAGGGGAGCGTGGATTGAGAGAGGGGGAAGGGAGTGAAGAGAGAGAAGGAGAGGGAAGTGAGGAGAGTCCTATAGCGTAGAGAACAGAGAGAGAGAGAGATGGGGGAGTGAGGCTAGAGAGAGCGCAGGGAGGGTGAGGATAGAGAGAGAGGGGGGAGAGTGAGGATAGAGAGAAAGGGGGAGTGAGGATAGAGAGAGGGGGGTGAGTGAGGATAGAGAAAGATAGTGGGGAGAGAGGAGAAAGGGGGTGGGAGTGAGGAACGGGTGAACACGTGTAGTGCGTAAACCTGGGCAGGGCCTGTGCTGCGCTGTGATGTTCCCTGTGGCCCTGGGCTGACTGTTCTGCTCTGGGCTGACAGTGAGGAGGAGTTTGAGATGTCTGAACACAGCGAGGGAGAGGCCGGCTCCAACCAGGATGACGAGACCTTCGAGGTGGGGGGGAGCAGACGGCGGAGGAGGTTCGCGGAGCCCATGAGACGCAGCCGCAGGTTAAGGGGGAGAGAGGCCAAGAGGAAATACTCTGATGAAGATGAGGAAGAGGAGGGGGAAGAGGTTGATGATGAAGGAAACGAGGGTAAGAAATGTCTCGTTTGTTCTTCACTTGTCCTTCTCCACTGAATTGTGTGTGTGTATATCAGCCCGGCTCGGTGTGGCGGGGAGGGTGTGAGTGTGTGAGAGAGAGCCTGCCTCTGTGTGCGCGTATGTGAGCTCTGTGTCCGTGTGTGTCAGCCTGGCTCATGGGTGTGTCCGTGTGTGTCAGCCTGGCTAATGGGTGTGTCCGTGTGTGTCAGCCTGGCTCATGGGTGTGTCCGTGTGTGTCAGCCTGGCTCATGGATGTGTGTGTCAGCCTGGTTCATGGATGTGTGTGTCAGCCTGGTTCATGGATGTGTGCGTCAGCCTGGCTCATGGATGTGTGTGTCAGCCTGGCTCATGGATGTGTGTCTGTGTGTGTGTCAGCCTGGCTCATGGATGTGTGCGTGTGTGACAGCCCGGCTCAGCATGTGTGTGTGTGTGTGTGTGTGTGTCAGCCTGGCTCAGCGTGTGTGTGTGTCTGGGGGTTGGGGAATTGCTGTGTTCAGCCTGGCTTGTGATTGCGTTGAGCAGGGAGCGAGGGCTCCAGCTGTTACAGTGACCTGTTGGACATGCGGAGGAGAAGGTCCAAACGCAACCAGGCTAAGAAAGTGGATTACCGAGAGGACTCGGGCTCGGAGAAGTCCTTGAAGAGCGGTGCTGGCAAAAAGCAGCTTCAGCGAGGACACAAACGCCTGCTGTATATTTCAGAGAGCGATGGTAAGGTATTTGTTAACACTCGCCAACTGGGCTTTAATCTTCTTCATACGTGTCTGTCTGTGCCCAAACTCTCTCTCGCTCTCTTTCTGTCTCTTTGTATATAATCTGGTCACCCACCCCACAACTGTTTGTGGGAGAGACTACTGTCCCACACACAGTCATGGATTGAGTGACCAAGCTATTATTATTTTTTTTTTGATGGTTTATTACCACTGAAAAGCGATCCGCCAATTGACTAACAAGCAGGTTCCTATTTACTGCTAGGTAAACGGAGGTGTATGTGTGGAATAAGGAAACTTGCCTAAGGTTTTGCCCTGCCCAGGAATCAAACCCAGGTCCTCTCACTTGCGGGACGAGTGCTCTAACCACTGAGCTACAGGACTCTTTTTGGGGGTGGTGCTTGAACCACATACAGGCTGACTCCTTGGTGTGAAGGAAAAACATTCCGCATTTGTTTTCCAGAGAGTTCCGGGAACAAAAGCTCAGAGGAAGATCAGGGGAGGGAGATACCATTCCGGAAACGCCTCAACAGGATCGAGGACGAGGACGATGACGACGATGATGATGATGATGATGATGATGGTGGTGGTGGTGATGACGATGAAGGTGCCGAGGAGGCGGGGGCAGACAAGGGTCAGCGGGAGAGCAGCAGAAAGACCACCTTCTGCCTGACCAGCGAGGAGGAGGAAGAGGACGATGATGAAGAAGAGATGGAGGTGGAGGTGGCCACACCAAAGGGGGCTGTGACGCCCCTGGACAAAAAGTTGCCCCCCACCAATGGACAGAGTCCCGACAAGGCCCCTGAGAGCGCGATCAGCCAGGCCAGCGAAAAGGGGCTGGCCAACAAGGACCCAAGTGCGGCCCCCCAGAACCCCGCAGTGAACGGGGCTCGAGAGTGTGTCCCCCTGGAGCCCAGCGCTCCCCCGGGGGGGCCAGCCGCCGCCACGCCAGCCGAGGGGGGTGCGGGGGCAGGGGGGGAGGAGGACGAGGACGACCTGTTGGGAGTTACTGACCTTGTAGAATACGTTTGTAACAATGAACAAGTATAAGACTTTTTAACGCTAGTTAATTTATTCCACGGTAGCTATGTAAATTGAACCAGTTATGGTGATTTTCTTTTGTGTGTGCGCGAGTGTGTTGATGGGGGTGGGGGGGTTGTGGAAGTGAAGTGGGGTGGGGGGAGTTCTTTTTCCTTTATTCACTACACCCAAGTGAGAGAGAGACAGAATGAAAGAAGGAGAGGGAGATTCTCCTCTTTCTCTCTCTCTCGTCATGAAATGACCAATTTTGAAGTGACTTAAGTACTGGCAGTTTTTCTCTTTAGTTTCCCTCCCGCCCCCCCCACCCCACCCCACCTCCACACCCCCATCTTCATTTCTCTTTTTATATATATCTGTTGTGTGCTCACTTCCCCAGTCTGAAATATTCATTCTTTTTTAAAACTAGTAATGAATTCATCCATTGATTAATTAAAAATACAAATGTAACTTTGGATAGTCCTGACGGTTTTCCCAAACAGGCGCAGGTTCTGAGGGATGAAGGGAGTGAATGAGGAGCGGAGGGAGATGGGAGTGAATGAGGGTGGGGGAGAGGGGGAGAGAGAGAGATGGATAGCAGGAGGGAGGAAGTGAAAATATTCCTTGTGTGGGAAAGATGCTCGTGACCACTCTAAACATGAAGTTTCCTTTTTTAAAAAAAAATTGTAATTTTTTTTAAACAAATGATTTATTTTTAACAAAAATAGCTGCCAGCTCCCACCGTTCGGTCGATGATATAGAAAGGAGAGAGGTGAAGAGGGTGTTTTGGTATCGTGTCCAGAGTCACTCTTTCTCTCCTGCCCCACACCCTTCCTCTCTCTCTTCTCCCAACTCCCCGTTACTCTCCCTTCCAATTTCATCTCTCTCTCTCCCTTCCCATTCTCAATCTACGACTGTGTGGGGACACTGCTGTGTGCAATTGGCTTCTGCGTTTCACACACAAAGCATTCAGTCAATTCACTTTACCGTGCAAGTTGTTGTTGTACAGTATATTCTGTGAAGCGCTTTGTGACGTCACACTGACGTGTTGAGGCTCTTTATCAAATGCAAGGGTTATATATCTTTCTATCTCTCTCTTCCCATTCCATCTGCCACTCACCACTCTTAACCTCACCTCTCTTCTATTGCTGCTACTCAACCTCTCCTCCCTCCACCCTGAGAGAAACACAAAAGAACCAAAAAAAAACACCAAAGCCAATTTGGGGTGGGGAGCGTGTCTGTGTGTGGGGGTGGGGATACAGAGAGAAGTCATTGGAACACCACATCCCCACCCCCCTATAACTCCTAAAGCAAGTTTTAGGATAGAGCGAGCCCCCACCAGCACAAGTGCCCTCTAAAATTGACTCCCCTATTTCATCTCAGTCAGTGTGGCTGTCACCTTGTGTTCCAATCTTGGTTCATTTAATTTGGGCAAGAAGGCACTTTGGCATCAAAGACTACAGGTTCTCTCCCCCACCCAAACATTCTGAAAGTACCAGTGCAATGGATGTCAAATGATCAACTGGGGAGGGGGAGAGGTAATTGGGGTCTCCTTGGAGCTGAACTGGCTCTAAGTTGACGTGCTTGGCAACGGAATGTTGGAATCTACTCCTTGGTAGTCCAGATCCTGCGCCAGGCGGGTCCACAGCACAGGACTTGGAAGGACTCAGCTCCTGTTTATCCAGCAAACTAAAGCCCTAACAGGTACCGTGGTCCTAGCTGGACAAGCAATGGGAAAGCTTGTCAGGCAGCGCTCTCAATGGCAAGCTATGCGGTTTTAGCCGGTTAGACTCCAGCAGTTACCCCAACACACACTCTGGGGTCCCCCCCAAGCCTTGGCTCTTGCCAATCTGTGCCTGATACTCTCTGGAACTAGGCAAGCCGGGAGAGTAAGAGTGTGCACTCCGATGTAAACTACAATTCTGCCCTGTCTTGGGGTGGGGATTGAAGATGCCTGATGGGAATAGAGGAGGGAATTCCTCCAGGAGCATCTTGGATGTAAGTCCCTGCCCCCATCTCTCTCCCCCACCACCCCCTGATCTATTGTTCGCTCTCACGGTTATAATTTGGGGACCTTATTATGAACACAGTAACCGCAGGGTCTGATTATTACGAAAACAACACTTGGTTGCTTTTCTGACAGTTAACCTCTTCTTTCTACCTCCCATTGTGCACATCTCTTGCGTCTATCTGTTCAAAAATTCAAAGGGTTTGTATAATTTTGTCGGGGAGGGAGAAGGGAGTCGCAAATTTTTGAGAGAGGAGAAAGCTGCAAAGAAATGACTTTGTAGATTTACCTTTACTTTAAACGTAGCCGTGGTCTGAGGCTTTATATAATATATGAGAGAGAGGTTTAGTCAGAAGTTCATTGACGACAATTGTCATAACACAGAAGTAATTCCAATCTGTTCTCCAAGTACACGAGCTCGTTCACTTCTCTGTTCGTCTGTTTGTTCTTTTGCGGGCTCTCCCTCCTCTCTCGCTCATTCACTCACTCCCTCAATCGCTGTGCTTTCTATTCAAAAAAAGACCCCTCTCTTTCCAAGCAGCTTGGCAAGTGCAGGGAGTGAGAGCGATTCCCTTTAAGAGTTTAGACCACTCGTGTAGATGCCAGGTGATAAGAGTCCAGTTAAAACTCTGTTCCACCCTGTGTACAAGCTACTTTAATCCACTTCTGTATTTTTTAAGAAATGTAATCCCTGTAAAATACACGTTTTTATTGTCAAACTGGAGATTATTTCCCTGATGATCTGTCCACTTTTGTCCTGTCTGCATTTTTTTTGCGCGCATTTTGCAGGCAGCCTAACAGTCTCGTCGCCAATCCATCAATTCATCCTTATAATTCTAATTATAGTAATAATAATCCTTGCATTTGATACAGCGCCTTATCACGTTGTGGAAATGTCTCAAAGTGCTTCACAGAATATATTGTAAACAGTAGTGACTGTAGAGTTTGTGGCGAAATGTGGCAGCCTATTGTGCACAGCAGTGTCCCACAAACAGTTGTGAATTAAGTGACCGAATTATTATGATTATTTTGACGGGATTGTGCCTCCCTGAAAAGCGATCTGCCAATCAACTAACGACCGGGTTCCTACTTATTGCTCGGTAAACACAGGCATTTGTAGTAGGAAAACTGGCCTAAGGTTTCGCCCTGCCCAGGAATCGAACCCAGGACCTATCGCTATCCACTAAGCTACAGGATTTACGGCCAGAAGTGTGAAATACCTTCCCCCCCAAAAAAAATACTCCCATTAGCTTTGCCTTTCTTGAGATCGACCGCCTTGGCTTTTGTTTTTGGTCTGCCGGGTATCTGACACATTGTGGATACCTGTTACATGTTCAAGTGTCTCCCAACCCAACTGAGTTCTGAGTATCTCACTTACACATGGAAATTTCCCCACGTCCGGAATGGAATGTGCGCTCTCTCTCTCACCACCTTTTGGGAGGGACGCACGCTGCTTACCAAATTCTGGTGAGTGTTGATACAATTATAGAATTTTACAGCACAGAAGGAGGCCATTCAGTCCATCATTCCTGTGCCGGCTCTTTGGAAGAGCTACCCCTGCTCTTTCTCCATACCTCTGCAAATTTTATCCTTTCAAGTTCCTATCTACTTCCCTTTGGGAAGTTGTTATTGAATCTGTTTCGGCCAACCTTTCAGGCAGTGCATTCCAGATTTGCCAACCTGCAGCAAATACAACAACAAATTACATTTACACAGTGCCTTTCATATTGGGAACACGTCCCAAGGCGCTGGACAGTCAGGGTTTTGGACCCGAGCTGGGAATCGGGATCAGGATGGGTGCAGGGCAGGGAGGGTGGGGGAAGGTGGGTGACCGAACGTGGTTGAAGAGAAGGACCTTGGAAGGTGGCAGGGGAGGGAGTGAGACGAAGGGGCAGTGGGAGGTTCCAAAGGGAAATATACTTTTATTAGAAATTATTCCAGAGGGATGCATTACCCCTCCAGACAGAGAGAGAGGGGTAGTGTGCATGCCATTTGAACAATCTAGCTCTGGGATTTCCACTTATAGCTGGGATGCATGGAATTAGGAGACCCTAAAGTATGGGTTTCCGACATCTGGCTGACGAAAGAAGATCAATTAATCTCCTTTAATCTCGCAATTAGAATTGTTCAGAAGTGCTAGCATAAGGCTGGATAACATTTCCTTATTTGATCCCGGGGTAAAAATCCTTCCCCCCCTCCACCCCGGTTGATTCCATTCTCCAGTTCTGCCATTTTTTGTTTATCTGAGGGGGGAAATTTTCTTCTTAAGCCTCTGACCTCTTTTGTTAGATATTTCAGGATAGACCTGCCTGGGCAAAAAATAATAATAATCCTTGTATTTTGCCCAAATAATTACAGTGAATTCACTTTACATTACATTCTTTGAAGCGCTTTGAGACGTCTCGAAGAGGTGATAAGGCGCTATATCAAATGCAAGGATTATTATTATGTGATACAGCGCCTTATCATATCGTTGAGACGTCTCAAAGCGCTTCACAGAATATAATGTAAAGTGAATTGACTGTATATTTTGTGGGTGAAACCCAGCAGCCAATTGTGCACAGCAGCGTCCCACAAATAAGTCGGCGATTAAATGACCGTATTTTTGGGTTGGGGGAGTTGAGGGATTATTACCCCCGGCAAGCGATCCAAATGAAAAAGATGAATCTCATTGACTGAGCGGGTTGGTCCAGAGTGGATGGTGGATAAAAGTTTTGCAAAGGAGGTAATTTCCTCCCTCCTACCCTGTCTTCCTTCCACCTCCCCCCACCACCCCACCCCGAGGGTAAATCAGCACTGTGAAATAAACCTCTCAACACAAAAAATAACTTGGGAGTCCTATTTAGGGCTTGATCTTTACACAAGAATATTACTTCCCTTCAGGGTAACAAAAAGGGTGACCAAATTATTTTTATTTATATTGAAGGAATTATTACCCCCGGGAAAAGCGATCCGCCAATTGACTAACTACCGGGTTCCTACTTACTGTTAGGTAAACAGAGGCTCGTGTGTGTGTGTGGAGTAAGGAAACTTGCCCAGCGTTTCGCTCTGCCCGGCAATCGAACCCAGGTCCTCTCGCTTGCGAGGTGAGCGCTCTAAGCACTGAGCTGCAGGACTCCATTTTCCGGAATTAGGTAAGCAGAATGGGTCCCACCAGGGAGAGAAAGTCAAGAGTACGCATTCCATTCCAGACAGAGCAAACTTTCCATGTTTAGTTTGTATATGTAGTGGAACGCTGTCAGGTTGGGAGACTCTTAAGCACAATGATGGGTTTCCGCTTGTATCAGACCAAAAAAAACACTGCCAAAGCCTCTGTCCTTCATGTACATCTACAACTGCTGTGTGCAACGGGCTGCCTTGTTTCGACCACAAACTACTCCGTCACCCCACTTTACAATATATCCTATGCCGCGCTTTGAGACTTCTCAACATCCCATGTTTTCCTGTTCCCACTTTTTCTCGATTGATTGGGAATCGCTTTGATATATTGTAAGTGGAGGGGTAGTGTCAGTGTGCGATGTCTCTCACTGACTCTCACTATGCCTCCATTCTCTGGTACTCCCTCCTTCTGCCCCTCATTCTCATCTTCAAACCACCCACTCCTCCCACCCCAAGGTGTTGAGGGATCTTTAATGTCCATCTTAACAGGGCACAGGCGGGGAGAGAGAGAGCGAGAGGAAAGAATAAAAAGACTTTCTGACAAATCAATGACTTCTTGGCTGTTAGCAGGACGTTGCAGGGTGCAAAATTGGCTGCTGTTTTCGCTCACAAATCACACAAGTCACTCACAACACTTGATGCCAGTTATCATAGTTGCTACATCATCGTCTGAGTTGTCATGAGCTGGTACTGGAGGGGTGACAGCCTGCTTCGTTACATGAAAACTGTCAATTTGTGCCAATGCTATCCATTCCCCTGCCGACCAGAGACTCTTATGTGCTCTCACTGCGAGTTCCTGTGTATAGAGGCTCCGTGTCGCCTCGCAAGCGAGAGGTCCCGGGTTCGATTCCCGGGTGAAACCTCAGGCAAGTTTCCTTGTTCCACGCACACGCCTCTGTTTACCCAGCAGTAAATTGGAACTCGGTATTTAGTGGATTGGCCGATCACTTTCCGGGGAGTAGTAATCCCTCTCTAAGAAAAACTTGGGCACTCACTCCACGGCTGTTTGTGGGACACTGCTGTGCGCAATTGACTGCCGCCTTTCACCCACAATAACAAGGAGTCAATCCACTTTAAAATTGATTCCGCAAAGAACTTTTGGACGTCTCACTGACGTGATAAGGCACAACATCAAATGTAAGAATTATTAATTATCTGTAATATCCTTTTTTTTGGTACGAAAAGTGTTTACATTACTTGCCATATTATTGTTTGATATAAATCTGTGTAAATTTGTCATAAAATTTGTTGAAGATAACTTGTTTGTTTTAGGAAAAAGTCTCTGCTCTCTCTCTGATTCACTTGTCTCGCGCTCTCAGCCTTAAATTCCGCTTCAAGACCTTCCTCTACCACTGCGCTTTCAGCCATCTTCCCCCCCCACCCCCCTGGTTGGGTGCAAACCTTAAGACTGTTGCTGTGCGCAATTGGCTGCCGCATTTCAATCCGTTTTACAGCGTATTCTGTGAAGCGCATTGAAACGTTTCAAAGACATGACGATGATATAAAATGCAAGGATTATAATAAAATAATAATATATTGAATTGGATTTGCTGTATCACATTGCCAAGACGGTTCATAAGATCCCATGATCAGGTCAGATGAAGAAGCCCCTTTGACCCCCCTTCTGATCTCCTCCTTCCAGAATCCCAGCCCACTATCCCAGGCCATCGAGCTGCTGTTTAAACAAGACCCAATGCCCTGGCCTCAACCCCCCTTCCTGTTCGAATTGTTAATTACCATCTGGGTAAAAAAAAGTGCTTCACCGGATTTACTGTTGTGTGACTGGTTGTGTGTTTTGCGGGCAGATACCAGTTAGGGCAAGAGAGAGAATGAAAATGAAAGTGCAGGAGAGAAAGAGAGTGAGAGTAAACGAACGAGAAAGAGGGTGGAGTGGGGGGAATTGTGGAAGAAAATTAACTGGGAGGGAGGGGAACAGACCAGTGTAAGCAGGATATTTGCTGTGTGATTTGGTGAAGATTGAGGACAACTGCTCCAAGACACTGGCCCATGCGAAGGGCACAATTTAAGTGCATGTTGTTGTTATTGACAGTGTTGAGAGAAGAGTGTCAGCCTGGCTCAGGTGGTAGCGCTTGCTCTCGCTTCTGAGTCAGAAGGTTGTGGGTTCAAGCCCCAAGTTGGGACTTAGAATCGCATAGTCCATGCTGACGGTCCAATACGGCGCTGGGGGTGTTTGTTGCCTTGTCGTCTTTTGGATGAGACGTTAAACTGTTGAGCTGGACATTAAAGCTCGCATGGCACTATTCAAAAAGAGAAAGGAGTTTCTCTCTCCTGGTGTCCTGGCCAACAGCCCCCCCAAATAAAATTAATCATTCGCCCCACGGCTGATCGTGCAAAATGGTCGCCAAATTTCGCCCACAAAGTACGTAGTCACTGCACTTTGCAGTATATCCTGTGAAGCCCTTACAGACGTCTCAATGATATGATTAGGCACTACATCAACATATTGTTGTAAGGAACGGATTAGCTGAGAATGAGGGACCTCTTGGGGCACGAGTGGGTATTGCTCCACAGCCGAAGCACAACTTGGATTCTGGCAAACTTTCGAACTGCGTGTCCAGCTGGGACCACGCTAATTGTTAGGACCTTGGCCCGCAGGGTTAACAGGAGCTGAGTGGGATGATTCCCTCCCCCGCCAGTGACTGGTCTGCCCTTCCAGGTCCTGCCGATGAGCCAGGCTGGAATACCGCGAACCCACCTGGCTCAGGCCGCACACACACAAAATTATACACACACACACACACACACAAAGAGACACTCTTTATCAAACCCATCTATTTCCAACTTTATATTTTTTTCATAAAAATAATCCGGGATGATCATGGTACAAACCCTGTCCTGTTTACAAAAAAACGGCTTTTCAATACCTCAATAACTCGATAGATAAAATTTCTTAGCCCCAACATACACTGACGCCCACACACACTCTGACACTCACACCCATACACACACAAACCCTTCACATACACCCATCCTCATACACGCCCATAAACATACACTGACGCTTATATACAAACGCCCACACGCACACACAACCTTCACACATACAGCCACCCAAACAACAAAATTACATTTATAGAGCGCCTCTCACCACCTCCTTTCTTTGTCCTCCTTGACCTCTCTGCTGCTTTCGACACCGTCGACCACTCTATCCTTATCCACTGCCTCTCTCACCTCAACCTCCATGGCACTGTCCTTGATTGGTTCAGATGGGATCTCTCACACCGCCTGCACTTCATCTCCTCAAATGGCTTCTTCGCTAGCCCCCGAACCGTCTCGTGCGACGTTCCTCAAGGCTCTGTCCTTGGTCCCCTCCTCTTCAACATCTATATGCTCCCCCTTGGTGACATGGGGTCAACTTCCACATGTATGCGGATGACACCCAACTGTACCTCTCTGCCTCCACCCTCAACTCCAGGACCACTGCGGTCCTGACAAAATGTCTGTCAGACATCAAGTCCTGGATGAGAGCTAACCTTCTTCAGTTGAACATCAACAAGACCGAGGCTCCTATCAGCGCCTTCTCACCTCAGGCGCTAACAGCATTACCATCCATGGTTGCACACTCAACATTGCTAAGCCAGTCCAGAACCTTGGGGTCTTGTTCGACCCTCAACTACCCCACATTCGCGCCATGACCCGCTCTGCCTTCCCCCACCTCCTCAATGTCACCCGGCTCCAGCACTGTATCACACCGCAGGCCGCTGAAACCCTCATAGATGTCTTCATTACTTTGAGGCTCGACTACACAAACTCACTGCTTGTCGGCCTCTGCAACTCCTCCCTCCACAGGCTGCAGTTCATCCAGAACTCTGCAGCCCATGTCCTCTCATGCACCAAGCTCCGTGACCCTATCGCCCCCATCCTCGCCCGATTCCACTGGCTTCCCATCACACAGAGGATACAGTTCAAGACCCACCTGAAGACCCTCCTCTTTGATCGTGCTTTCGATCTCCCTGCATCTCACCCTGCTCTCCCCTCTCCCCACCCTAAACCTCAGCTTGGGTCCGAAACTGTCTGTCCAGCACCTTGGGACATCCTCCCGACGTGAAAGGCACTATACAAATGTAATTTTGTTGTTGTTGTTAGACAGTCAGGGTTCAGGACCCGAGCATGGGGGGAGGGTGGGGTAGGGGTGAGGGAAGGCAGAGAGGTGGAAGGACGACTGAAGGCACGATCATCACACACAAAAACACCCAGGTACCTACACAAGAACATATACAGACACACAGCCTTCATACACTCCCTTCGCACATACAGGCCCATGCAGACACTGACACTGACTGACACCCATACAGACACACACACCCACACTCAAACACACACCTACATACCCCTCACTGGATGTATATAAATCATGGGCTTGTTTAAACAATGCTATAAAGATCAAAGGCAAATTAAATCTGGCAAATTGTCCTGATGGCCACTCCCCGAGAGGACGTGCTGGCTGTCCTCTGGCTGTGTCTCTCATCACATCACCGCCAGGCACTCAGTGTCCGCATAGCCAAACTTGGTCTTGTATCGATCAAACAGTTTGATGAGGGATTGGATGTACATGCCGTGATAAATGTCAACCTCTTCCTGGCTGGGATTCTCAATCTTCGGAACGGTGATGGGCTCCCCAACTGTACAATAACAACAATAATAAATTACAACGATAATAATAACAATAATTATTATTATGGGATCTTTAACATCTTATAAGAATATAGAAACCTAAGAATTTGCAAGGCGAAAGAAGACCGAGGTCCATCTAGTTTGGCCTTCCATCATCCTGGCTGTCGCTTGACAGGTCAGGTCTCAAACTATATACGATGTTATCCTGAGATATTATTTTCTAGCGTAAAAAATCTATCTAATTTGTTCTTGAAACAAATGACATGTTCTGCTTCCACTGTTTGTCTCCCGAGGGAGCCTGTTCCATGAGTTTACCACTCGCTCGCTGAAGTAGTGTTTCCGCAGATTTGTTCTGAATTTACCCTCCCCTTCAATCGCAGGCCGTGTCCTCTGGTCTTATCTGTAAAGTGTGTCTGCGCTGTGTCATGCTCGCAGTGATGGTGATGATGAGGGTGACGTACCCACGGTGTTGATGGGTTTACCGTACGGCACCAAACCCCATGAGTCATCGGAGAAAAAGCCACGGCCCCTGAATAGGCACGGAGCGAACCCGATCAACTTCTGGAACTTTCTCTGCACGGCTCGCAGCAAACCGTCCTCGCTAAAGATGATCTGCTTATAAACCTCGTTCTCCCCAAAGGAATAAACAGGCACCAAGTCAGCCCTGAGCAAGAGAGAGAGAGAAAGAGAGAGGGATAATAAATATTGGTAATAATAATAATCCTTGCATTTGATTTAGCGCCTTAAAATGTCTTCGAGACGTCTCAAAGCGCTTCAGTGTAAAGCGGATTGACTGTATTTTGTTGGTGAAATAATAAAAATAATGCCATGATGTAACAGAGAGGTGGAATAGGCTCGAGGGGCTGAATGGCTCGAGGACTTTGATTCCCAGGCAGGGCGAAACCTTAGGCAAGTTTCCTTACTCCACACACCTCTGTTGTGGAGGTGTGAAGGGCGCTATATAAATTATAAATAATAATAAGTTGTTGTTGTTGACCTAGCAGTGAGTAGGAACACGGTTGTTAGTTGATTGAGGGATCGCTTTCCGGAGCTAATAATCCCTCTAAAAAAAATATTTGGTGACTCAATCCACAACTGTTATTGGCTGCCACTTTTCAATCACAAAATACACAGTCACTTCGCTTTACAATATATTATGTGAAACGCTCAGAGACATCTCAACAATGTGATAAGGCGTTATATTTTTTCTGGGGGATTGTTGGCCAAGCGAGAAACTCCAGGAGAGAGAAACGTTAAACCGAGCTATAAACAGTATATAGTTTGGGACACGACATGTGCAAGTGACTGCTAGGATGGAAGTCTTCCGTTGTCCAGCAAATTCTTATGCTCTTATATCAAATGCAAGAATGATAATAATAATTTTTGGAGACGTCTCAAAGCGCTTCACAAAAGATACGGTAAATTTTGCGGGCGAAACGCAGCAGCCAATTGCGCACCACAGTGTCCCACAAACAGTCATGGATTGAGTGACCAAATTATATTATTATTTTTTTGAAGGGATTATTACCTCTGGAAAAGCGATCCACCAATCAACTTAATAACCGGGTTCCTACTGACTGCTAGAGGCGTGTGTGTGGAGTAAGGAAACTTGCCCAACGTTTTGCCCTGCCCGGCCGGGAATCGAACCTGGGGTCCTCTCGCTTGCGAGGCGAGTGCGCTAACCAGTATGCTATTGGAATCCTGCACTAACAGTTTTATTATTAATAGTAATTATTAGACTGCTCCTCTCCCCGTGGCTTTGAGACGTTGCAGCACTATGGGAACGCCAGTGCCGTAGTTTGCTCACCCGTTCTGCAGCGCGATCCGCACAAAGCCCTTCCGGTGTTTGAGGTTGACCACGTGATTCCCGGGCGAGCATTCCAGCGACTCCGCCGCTCCTCCGATAACGATGACCACAGCGTTCCCGCTCCCATTCCTGGACAGCATGAAGTCAATGGCTTCACGCGTCACGGGGAAAATCCCTGAGCCACAAACGACGGGAGAGAAAACAGGAAAAATTCACCTCATTGGATGAAGGCAGAATGATTGCCGTTGTTAAACTAACGGCCACTGGGGGGCAACAAACACCCCCCTCACCTGCCGACGTTTCTATTGAACAGCCAAGTTGGGTGTCTGACACACATGGAAACCCATTATCATGGTTGAAAGTCTCCAAAACAAAACCGAGAGTCCAACTTATGTATCTCCCCGTGTCTGGAATGGTATGTGCACTCTCTCTCTCTCTCCTCCCCCCTCCCCTCATACGCGGCGGGACACACCCTGATTCTAATTCCAAAGAGTATTAGAGGCACAAGTTGGCTTACTCTTTCTCTATCCCTCTGCCTTGCCCCTTCCTTCCCCATCTTCAAGATGCACCTGAAGACCTCCCTCTTCGACCGTGCCTACGGTCACCTCCCCCACACACCCCCCCGCCCCACCCCCCGGCTCAGCATCAGGCTACCATCAAGCGCTCTGGGACACTACCTTGCGTGAGGGGCGCTGTGCGAATGCAAGTTGTTGTTGCTGTTCCCCTGAGTGCGCGCTGAGGTAACCGCTGGGATCTGAACAGCTAAACCTGCATAGATTGCCTTTGAGAGCACTGTCCGGAAACCGTTCCGCCAATTGACTAACAACCGGGTTGCCACTTATTGCTAGGTAAGGCCTGCGGAGTGAGAAAACTTGCCTAAGGTTTCGCTCCGCCTGGGAATCAAACCCGGGTCCTCTCGCTTGTGAAGCGAGTGCTCTAACCACCACGCGAGGGGATTCCACCGTTTGCAGCCCTACGCCCACGCTGTTCATTAACTCATAAAAGGCGTGTGCGATATTGATGAGCTCTGAAAGCGGCCTTTCACTCAGAAATGTTCACACCTTGCATTCTATGGCCCTAATAAAGAGTTATTCAGGCTGAACCTTGGTCGATCCGAAGGGGATTGGGGATATTTAAACACGTTGTGTTTAAAGTACAGAAGATACACGCTGACAGCAAACCTGAGGACACTGAAACAGCAGCGAGGGTTGGGGGTGGGGGATGGGAGGGGCCATGCACTCGCCCAGCACCATACACACAGGAAACATCAACAACATCGACACCAACATCATCAACACCAACATCATCACCATCAACACTACCACCATCGACACCAACACCAGCGCCATCAGCAACACCAGCGTCACCATGAACACATCGACACCAACACCACCAACATTGCCACCAACCCTCACGACACCAACACCAACTTTTCAGGTGTAATAATCCCTCCCAAACAAACAAAAATAATTATTTGGCCACTCAATCCACGACTGTTTGTGGGACACTGCTGTGTGCAATTGGTTGCCGTGTTTCACCCACAAAATACAGTCAATTCACTTTACAGTTTATTTACAGTAAGTGCTCTGGACGCTACGCTGCATGAGGAGCGCTATATAAATGCAAGTTGCTGTTATTCAGTGAAGCGCTTTAAGATGTCTTAATGACCTGATAAGATTCTATATAAATGCAAGGATTATTATTATATTATTCTGAACATGTTAAAGTTCATCCACCGTCTTGCTCCTCCTCATCTCCCTTGGACAGCAGTCTCAATGGCAAGTTATGGGTTTAAACTGTAGCAGTTACTCCAACGTACGCTATGGGTTCTCCCTCAAGCCCCAAGGCTTGGCTCTTGCTGACCTGTCCCTGATTCTCACTGGGATTACGTGAGCAGGGTACTTCCCTTGGGGGGCGGGGGGGGGGGGGGGGGGGTGGAGGGGGAAAGAGGGATGAGAGTGCACACTCCATACCGAATAAATGGTTACTGGAATACATGTATAACTCTCAGTAGATTGTCAGCCTGGGTCAGTCAGGCGCATCTCAGCTCTGCCTCAATAACAACAACAAATTGAGGGATTATTACCACTGGAAAGTGAGCTACCAATCGACTTACAACTGGGTTCCTACTTCCTGCTCGGTAAACAGAGCCGTGTGGAGTAAGGAAACTTGCCGAAGGTTTTGCCATGCCTGGGAATTGAACTCGGATCCACTCGCTTGGAAGGTGAATGCTCTAACCACTGAGCTACAGGACTCCAGTAAAATCCTGTGAAGCATTTCAAGATGTCCAGCTCTGGCCTGCTCCACATCCCCCGACCCAACTGCCCCACCATTAGCGGGAGAGCCTTCAGCCACTCTGGCCCAAACCTCTGGAAATCCGTCCCCCAATCACTCCACCTCACCCCCTCCTCAGCCTCCTTCAAATCCCACCTCAAGACCTCCCTCTTGAACCAGCCATCGGCCACCCCCCTTCCCCTCCCCTCCCCTCTCCCCCCTGACCCCAGCTCGGGTCTGAAATCTGGGACGTCCTCCTGACGTGAAAGGCGCTATACAAATTTAATCTTGTTGTTGTTGTTGTCCTCTTGCCTTGAAAGGTGCCGTGTCAGATATAAGGGTTATTATTGGAAACGGGGAGGAGTGGAGATGGGTCAGACACTCGGCTGATTAAAAAAAATTTGAAGAGTCAATCAGCTACTGGTAACTTGTGTTTGGTGGGGAGGGGTGGGGAGGTCATTGAGTTGGGGATGTGTAATTAAGGGCACAAGCCTGTCCTTGGAGAGGCTGAGTTACAGGGAATAAAACAATAAGATGATCAGCAATAGGTTTCAAACGGTCACAGAGCTTGAGGTTTACACCAACACACAGACAGATGCGAGCAGAGACACACTTACACACCCTGACAGACAGACTCACAGAGTCGGTCAATGTGGCGGAGTGAGCACCACATGATGGGGAGAGAGCAGGGAATGGTATAAGAGTAGAGAGCTCCAGGGGAGGAGCGAGCACCAACACAGACAAGATGGGCCAAATGTGCTTTCTCCCCAACCCACTACCTGCTGCCTCTGGGCGCCTGATTATCCCTTGAGCCCTCTGTTCAGCCACTATACCCTAATACTCTGGAACTGTCTCCCTCAATCCCTTCGCCTTGCCCCCTCCTACCCCTCTTTTAGATCATGACTGAAGACCTTCCTCTTCGACCGTACTTACGGTCACCTCCTCCCTCACCTCCGCTACTATTAAGCACTCCGAGACACTGACCCATGTGAAGGACACTGTGTAAACACAAGCAGCTGTAAACTGCTCTGTAACAGGGATCCCAACTTTGGCTCTCAAAAAAAATCCGCAACAACAACAAGATCGACTTGCATTTACACAGCGCCTTTCAGGTTGGGAGGGAGTTGAACGGTCAGGGATTTGGTCCTGAACTGGGGGTTGGGATCAGGAAGGGTGGAGGGCAGGGAGGGTAGGAGGGTGACTGAAGGCACGGTCGAAGAGGAGGGTCTTGAGATGGGACTTGAAGGAGGAAAGAGAGGGGCGAGGCGGAGGGACTGTGGGGTGGAGCTGGAGGTTGGGGGCAGAGAGACTGAAGGCTCGATCGCCAATGGTGGAGTGGGTCGGGGTTAGAAATGGAGCAACAACAACAACAGAATAATCAACAGCAACAACTTGCATTTATATAGCGCCCTTCATGCAGGATAGCGCCCTGGAGCGCTTTGCTATGTTGGACTCACCTCCGCTCATTAAATATTCCCGCAAAATGGGCATCCGGAAATTTCCGGCCAGCGTGGCCAAAGATGGGCGAATGCCGGGGAATTTGGTGGAGAAGCCGGTGGCCTCTGTGCCGAAGTTACAGAAAGCTCCGAAGCAGAAGATGCCGTGCGGGTGGTAACCAAAGATGTAATTCCTTGATGGCAGCAGATTGTGGGTCTTCACCAACTGCAATAAACCAGTGGCACAGAGTGAAAGAACAATAATAATCATCATTCTTGCATTTGATATAATAATCCTTGCATTTGATATCGCGCCATATCACATCTTCGAGACGTCTCAAAGCGCTTCACAGAATATACTGCGTCTCCCTCAAGCCCTCCACCTTTCCCCCTCCCCTTTTTCAAGTCCCGCCTTAAAACTTTCCTTTTCTACCGTGCTCATGGTCTCCTTCCCACCCTCGGCTCGAGTCAGGCTCCGCGCCATTGTTAAGCCCTTCGAGACTCTGCCCTGTGTGGAAGTGCAAGTTGTTGTTTTTGTGTATTTTGTGGGCGAAACCCGGCAGCCAATTGCACACAGCAGAGTCCCACAAACAGCCATGGAGTGAGCGACCAATTTTATTTGGGGGATTGTTGGCCTGGACATCGGCAGAGAGAGAAACTATAGCATCCACCTGAGCGGACAGACGGGAAGCTCGGTTTAACGACTCATTCGCAGGACAGTGTCCCTGACAATGCAACACCCTCTCCCCAATAACTATCAGAATCCTCATAATTTTCAAGACTTTGATCAGGTCATCCCTCAACCCCCTCTGTTACAGTGGGAAAAGTCCCAGTTTCTCCAGTCGATGCTCATAGGCCAAAGTATTCATCCCCAAGATCATCTGGGTAACTCAAGACAGAGAGGAAAACAGAAGAGTGAGAGAAGGCAAGAAGGAAGGAGAGAGAAAGAGGGAGCTAGAGAAGGAGGGAGGGAAGAGAATGAAGGAGGGAGAGAGGAGGGATGGATGGCAAGAGAGTGAAGGAGAGAGAGAGAGCAGGGAGAGAGATAAGAAAAGTGAGAAAGACGGAGCGAGAGAGAAGGAAGGATGGCAAGAGAGTGGAGAGAGAGAGAGAGAGATAAGAAAGGAGAGAGGGAGGGAGAGAGAAGGAAGGATGGCAAGAGAGTGGAGAGAGGGAGGAGGGAGTGATAAGAAAGGAGAGAGAGAAAGACAGAGGGAGAGAGAGAACGAAGGAGGGAGAGAGGAGTGATGGCAAGAGAGAGGAGTGATGGCAAGAGAGAGGAGAGGGAGATAAGAGCGAGAGTGAGACAGAAGGAGAGATAGCAAGAAAGAGGGATAGAGAGAAGAAAGGAGGGAGGGAGAGGAGAGAGGAGGGAGAGGGATGGAAGGAAAGATAGCAAGGAGGGATAGCAAGAAGGTGAAATAACAAGAAGGAGGGAGGGAGAGAAGGAAGGAGGCTGTGGGAGAAAGAGAACGGAGGGAGAGAGAGAGAGAGAGAGAGAGAAGGAAAGTGGGAGAGAGAGCAGGAAGGAGTGCGAGTGCAGGGAGAGAGGGAGCTGGCACACAGATCCGCTGATGTGAGCAGACTGTGTGAACCTGGTACTTGACTCAATTGATTATCTGATTATTTGGTACAATCCCTGATATCGTGCGCAGCAGCGACATTCACTCCAGCCAAAGATTTCTCCACCACGTCTGGATGTGCGAGACAGCTCGCACAGTAACCCCCCCAGCCCCCCAACACACACACAGCCAAACTACCCCCCGCACCCCACACACACAGCCAAACTCCCCCCCCACCCACCCAACACACACAGCCAAACTCTCCCCCCACCCCACACACACAGCCAAACTCCCCCCCAACACACACACAGCCAAACTCCCCCCAACACACACACACAGCCAAACTCCCCCCCACCCCACACACACAGCCAAACTCCCCCCGCACCCCACACACACAGCCAAACTCCCCCCCCCCACCCAACACACACAACCAAACTCCCCCCCCCACCCACCCAACACACACAGCCAAACTCTCCCCCCACCCAACACACACAGCCAAACTCCCCCCAACACACAGCCAAACTCCCCCGAACACACAAACACATAACCAAGCTCCCCCCCATCACACACACACACACACACACAGCCAAACTATCCCCAACACACACACACAGCCAATCTCTTACCCCGTCTCCAACACAAACACACAGTGACACCCACCCTCCCACAAGGGATTCCGAGGACAAAGACAGACGTGCTTTGGCAAGAGCCCAGCATTGAATTGCCGGGGTGGGGGTGGAGAAGGTAAAACAGGAAGAGACTATTGGCCATGGTCAGTGATTAGTTACCAGAGGACTTGCGGAGCTCTGTAACTCAGTGGTCAGTGCGCTCGCCTTGCAAGCGTGAGAGCACAGGTTCGATTCCCGAGCAGGCAAGTTTCCTTACTCCGCACACACCTGTTAACCTGGCAGTAAACAGGAACCCAGCTGTGAGTGGTTTGGCAGATCGCTTTCCAGGGGTAATGGAAGAAATTGGTCACTCAAACCACGACTGTTTGTGGGACACTACGGTGAGCAATTGGCTGCCACATTTGCCCACAAAATACGCAGTCAATCCACTTTTCAATACATTCAGTGAAGCGCTTGAAGGCATCTCATCAACGTGATCAGGCAGTATATCAAATGTAAGGATTATTATTATCATTATTAATTTATCATCATCAGAAACACAGAGAGAGGTTAGAGTCACACACGCGCTCATATACACTCCCCAGACAGCTGTAAAATCAATGATCAATTTTATCTGTATGGGATTGTCGGCCAGGAAACTGGGAGAGAGAGAGAGAGAGAGAGAAACTCCTCTTTTCCAACAGCGCTGCAGGAGATGTTTAAGCCTCTCTCTCCGAACATGCCCCCAGTTTTGATGAAGGGTCATGGACCCGAAATGTTGACTCACTTTCCTTTCTCCATAGATGCTGCCTGATCCGCTGAGTGTTCCCAGCGGCTTCTGTTTTGGTTAAACAGAGGTCTGGGCTTGTTCAGGTGGATAATAATAATCCTTGCATTTGATATAGCGCCTTATCACATCATCCAAACAACAACAAGATTGCATTTATGGAGCGCCTTTTACATTGGGAGGACGTCCCAAGGAGCTGGACAGTTGGGTCGGGACCCGAGCAGGGGGGAGACGGTCAGGGTGAGGGAAGGGAGGGAGCGAGAAGGGGGTAGAGAGTCAAGAGGGGAGCTGAAGGCACGGTGTCAAGGTGCTTCACAGAATATACTGTAAAGAGAATTGACCTTACATTTTGTGGAGTAAATATTTTTGTGGACGTTTAAACATCCCGCATTGCTATTTGAAAAGAGAAAGGAGTTTCTTGGTCTCTCTCTCTCTTTTCAATTCCCCGGATAACAATTGTTCATTCACTTCATGGCTGTTTGTGGGTTGTTGCTGTGCGTAAATTGGCTGTTGCATTCACCTGCAAAATGTACAGTCACTACACTTTGCAGTAAATCGTGTAAAGCACTTTGAGATGTTGAAGATGTATGAAGGTGCTGTATCAAGTGTAAATATCCACGAGGAACCAGATGGGTCCGCAGTATTCCAGGGCACTGCTGATACCACAACCCAGCCTCTCGGCAGGGCCTGGAAGGGCAGACCAGTCACTGGGACAGGGAATTCTCCCACTCGGCTTTTGTTAACCCTGCAAGCCAAAGCCCTAATGGGAACGGTGGCAATAGCAGGACAAGCAGCAGGAAACCTCGCCGGACAGCAATATCAATGGCAAGCTATGCGGTTTAACAACAACAACAAAATTACATTTAGCTGGTTAGATTCCAGCAGTTTCCCCAGTGCACACTCTGGGGTCCCCAAGCCTTGGCTCTTGCCAACCTGTGCCTAATACTCTCTGGAATTAGGTCAGTAGGATGGGTCCCTCCAGGGAGAGAGTGCGCATTCCATTCCAGATTCGGGGAGATTTCCATGTTTAGGTGGGATACATATGTTGGAACCATCACCATACCTATCTGGTTTGAAAGCTCTGCAAGCTGATCACAGTGACGGATTTCTGAGTGTATTGATGCATGTGTATATGCATTTTATCATATGAATTCTTCCCCCACCTCTCCCCACGTTAATATTTCTCTTTGCAAATTTCCCATATCACAGCATCAAGTCGTCTAAAAGGGCTTCACAGAATTTACTGTAAAGTGAATTGACTGTATATTTTGGGGACGAAACGCAGCAACCAATTGCGCACAGCAGCGTCCCCCAAACAGTCATGCATTGAGTGACCAACTCATGTATTATTATTTTGTTTTTGAAGGGATTATTATCCCTGGAAAAGCAATCTGCCAATCGACTAACAACCGGATTTCTACTTACTGCTGGGTAAACAGAGGCGTGGGTGTGGAGTAAGGAAACGTGCCCAATGTTTTGCTCTGCCCGGGGAATCAAACCCAGAACCTCTCGCTTGCGAGGCGAGCGCTCTAACCACTGAGCTACAGGACCCCATGATGCAAAGCAGTGTCCCGAGTAGAGAGAGCTGCTAACTGAGTCAGGCTGGCACTCACTCATTTGGCGATCTTTCAAGGTTTTATTTTCTGTAAAAATATAATGCAACTTCTATTATTTAGTTAGCATTACCAAAGTGATGAATAAGGGAATTTTCAAACAAACCCTACTGTAAATAGTTACTGTACTGTCTGTGCAAACACTCATATGCCAACAGCCTCTGACCTGTCTTATGAGGGCGGGGGTGGCTGGTTAAAGCTCACAGTCTCGACTGTTGCTCAAGTGCAGTGTTGTGGGGGGGGGGGGGGGGGAAGATACAAAGAGAGTGCATAAATTGGAGTGCTGTAGCGTAATGGTTAGAAAAGTCGCCTCGCAAGTGAGAGGACCTTGGTTCAATTCCCAGGCAGGGTAAATCTTAGGCAAGTTTCCTTACTCCTCACGCCTATGTTTACATTTACCCAGCAGCAAGTAGGAACCTTGTTGTTAGTCGATTGGTGGATCGCTTTCTGGGGATAATAATCCCTTTGCTCGGTCAATTCACTTTACGGTATACTTTGTGAAGCGCTTTGAGATGTCTCAACGATGTGATAAGGGACTATAGCAAATGCAAGGATTATTATTATTGTCGGAGGAGCCGTCCTTTGGATGACGTGTTATCCGAGGTCCCATCTGTGTCCTGTTCAGGTGGATGTTAAAGATCTCCCGCGGTGCTGTTGGAGATAGAGAAGGGAGTTTTTCTCTCTCTCTCTCCTGGCTGACAATCCCTCAGATAAAATTGCTTGTTCACCTCACAGCTGTTTGTGGGACATTGCTGTGTGCGAGAGACAGACAGACAGACACAGAGACAGACCAGAAGAAGCCCATTGTATCTGTGCACAATGGGAATGTTGACATTCCACACCCAAATCACTCTGTGTGTGAGAACATCTCTACTAACCTCTCCTAACTGTTGCTCATTTACTAACTATCTTACATTGATGGCCTCTCGTTACTGACGCCCCGACCAGTGGCAATGATAATAATAATAATCCTTGCTTTTGATATATCATGTTGTTGAGATGTCTCAAAGTGCTTCACAGAATATATTATAAAGTGCATTGTCTGTAATTTGGGGGTGAAACCCGGCAGCCGATTATGCACATCACTGTCACCACAAACAGTCGTGGTTTGAGTGACCAATTTTTTTTGAGGCATTATTACCCCCAGAAAGTGATACGGCAATCGACGAACAACCAGGTTCCTACTTACTGCTAGGTAGGTAACCAGAAGCGTGTGGAATAAGGAAGCTTGCCTTAGGTTTCGTCCTGCCCAGGAATCGAGCTCAGGAGAGGCGAACACGCTAACCACTATGCTATGGGACTCCACAAATGCAAGGATTAATAACCTTTACCTTTGACACAGCACCTTTCACTTCAGGAGGACGTTTCAAAGCGCTTCACATGTTATACTGTAACGTGTAGCGACTGTGTGCATTGTGAGCGAAGGCGGCAGCCTATTTGCGCAAGCTGACATCCTGCAAACAGTCGTGAAATGAACGACCAATTCGATTTGGAACAAGGACACCAGGAGAGAGCGAGAGAGAGAGAGAAGATCAACAGCGAGAGAGAAAGTCCTTTCTGTTCGGTTGTGACAGGTAACACAAAAAACAAACACATTTCTTTCCACAGAGCTGTTTCTCCAATATAGAGCTGCTTCACTTTCTCACTCTCAGAACCTAGTGGTCGAAACCCAGAAGGTTACTGGCTCACTCACCAATTGTGTAAGTCTCTCTCTGTAGCCCAATCTCTTCCCTTGTGACAAAATACTCTTCAGTCAATAAAAGCTGAGAACCAGCCGTTTGCATTTAGTGCGGAGGTCAGATCTGTGGATTGATTTCACTGTATCAACAAGGCTGAACACTCACTGTCCACGTTCACAGCCTCTGCTAGTCACATTTCAGGCCCGTGGAGTCCTGTAACTCAGTGGTTAGAGCACTCACCTCGCAAACGAGGGGAATGCGGTTTGATTCCTGGTTGAGGCGAGACCTTAGGCAAGTTTCCTTTACTCCACACATTAGCCTCTGTTTACCTAGCAGTAAGTAGGAACCTGGTTGGTGGATCAGTTTTCTGGGGGTAATAATCCCTTCAAAAAATAAACCTAAATAAATAATAAGAATTTGGTCACTGAATCCACAACTGTTTGTGGGATACTGCAGTCATATTCCACATCACCACAGAATACAGTCAATTCATCAATTCTCTTTACAGTATATTCTGTGAAGAACTTTGAGACGTCTCAACGACATAAGGTGCTATACCAAATGCAAGGATTATTATTATCATTTTACTGGAACAATGCAAAAAATATTGGCACAAGAGTCTCAGCCCAGCTCAGCCTCGCACACTCTCACCTCTGAAACAAGAGGTTGTGGGTTATAATAATCCTTGCATTTGATATAGCACCTTATGTCGTTGAGATGTTGCACACCACTTCACAGAATATATAGTAAATTGGATTGACTGTATTTGTAGGAGAAACAGTAGCCAATCGCGCACAGCAGTGTCCCACAAACAGCCATTTTTTTTTTTGGTAGGGATTAAAGCGATCCGCCAATTGACTAACAACCAGGTAGACAGAGGCATATGGGTAGAGTAAGGCAACTTGCCTACCTGATCCCGCCCGGGAATCGAACCCGGGTCCTTTGGCAACAACCAACAGGACTCCAAAGCACAGGGGTAACGAGACCTGCATTGACAGACACCATCCTACAGATGAGACCAACCGAGGTCCAGTCTGTGCCCTCCTCAGGTGGATGTTAAGGATCCCGTGGCGCTATCAGGAAAAGAGAAGGGAATTTCTCTCCTCTCTGGTGTCCTGGCCGACAATCTCCCAGATTATTAAAGAATAGTCATTGCCGTGGGCAAATTGGCTGCTATGTTTGCCTATAAAAAAGCACAGTCACTACACTGTACAGTTTACCCTACAAAGTGCTTGGAGGGAGACATCCTCCCCACATTATGTTATTCCACATCAGCCTCATCCCTCCTATTGGGATGGGGTTTGTTGCCTAATGTTTCGTCTTACCCGGGAATCGAACCTGGGTCCTCTCGCTTCCAAGGCGAGCGAGCTAACCACTATGCTGCAGGACTCCATTAAAGGTACAGAACGCAACAATTTTTGGAACAAGCATGCGATCGCTCAGCAGGATCGATTCAGGTGAAAGTGCAGCAGCTGCTCATGTGGTCAGCAATCCCACAGCTATTAACTCAAGAGCTTAGTTAACATTGTAATAGGAAATGCAGATTGGAGAGTGTAGTGTGTGTGTCAATCAGTATCTGGGCTCAGAGTACATGAACCAGTTGAGCTCAGCACATCATTTACTTATCTTTTTTCTAAAAAAATCCAAAAATTCCATTATTCGATTCAGCCACTGCACCCCTAGTCTCTGGAACTCTCTCCCTCAATCGCTCCACCTTGCCCCCTCCTTCCCCACTTTCAGTCCGCACCTGAAGACTTTCCTCTTCGACCGTCCTTACGGTCACCTCCCCCCCCTCCCCCTGGTTCAGCGTCGAGTTCTGCCATTTTTAAGGGCTCTGAGACACTGCCCTGCGTGAAGGTCGCTGTGTCAATACAAGATGTTGTTTATGTGGTGAGGACGTCCCAAGGCGCTGGACAGGCACGGATTTCGACCCAAGCTGGGGGTTGGGATCAAGAGGGGTGGAGGGCAGGGAGGGTGGGGGTAGGAGAGTGACTGAAGGCGTGGTCGAAGGAGAGAGTCTTGAGACATGCTTTGAAGGAGTAAAGAGAGGAGGTGGGGTGGTGGGGGGAAAGCAAGACGAAGAGACTGGGGTTCCAAAGGGTGGAGGCAGAGAAGCTGATGACCTAATCACTAATGGTGTGGTGGGCCAGGCGGGGTACGTGGAGCAGGCAGGAACCTGCTGAGTGGAGGGAGCCGACAGGTCAATGTTACGGGTGGTGGTGGTGTTGGCGGGGATGACAGCCTTGGCCAGGGCTGGCGAAAGATCAGCCTGGTTTACCTGTGTGTGTGTGAGTGTTGTTTTGGTCAGCCGAGTGTCATTTATACAGATCCCCTCATGCAGAGTAGTGTCTCACATGCTTACGTGTCTACAAACCAAAACGAGAATTCCACGTCTCCCACCTCCACATGGAAATCCCAGAGATAGGTTGTTGGAATGGAGTGTGTACTCTCGCTCTCTGGAGGGATGCATCCTGCTTACCTAATTCTAGAAAGTATTAGGCAAGAGCCAAGGCATGGTGGAGCCCAGAGTGTGCGTTGGGGTAACTGCTAGAGTCTAACCAGCTAAAACACATTGAGAGCACTGTCTGGCAAGCTTTCCTGCTGCTTTGTCCAGCTAGGACAACCCTACCCGTTACGGCTCTGGCTTGCAGGCTGAACAGGAGCTGAGCGCGAGGATTCTGGGCAAGCCAAAGAAATGAATATGATAAACGACCCAAAAAAGCCCACAGCTACGTGTGGCTGCAAATGATTGATAGAAATACGGAGCTCTGTAATATAACGCAGTGATTGAGTCAGCAATGAGGACCGAACTCTGAGCAGAGGAGCTCAGATAAACACGAGAGATTTCAAAGAAACCAGAGACAAAGGCCCAAAGTCACCCACACACAGCCTGGTCCCCGGACAAACTAACACACACATGCGGAAACCCATCACCGTGATCAGCCGGGTGTCTGACACACACACATACACACCACACGTACGTGAAAACCAGTCACTGGGACCCAAACTCCACCTCCTCTCAGCCTGTAAGATCATATTTGTCTCGCTACTTTTTGGGGGATCTGATACACACGGAAACTTGTCACCGTGATCAGCCGGGTGTCTGACACACGAGGAAACCCATCACTGTGTTAAGAGTCCAAACCAGACCGAGCCCCACAAATGTATGCCACTGAAACAGGAATGAATGTGAACTCTCCAACTCTCTTCTCCAACCACCCTCATTTAGAGGGTGAAACACGAGAGCCAATTGTGTACAGCAGTGTCCCACAAACATTCGTGGAATGAGACCAATTATTTATTTATGAAGGGATTATTAGCCCTGGAAAGCGATTCGCCAATTGACTAACAACCAGATTCCTACTTACTGCTACGTAAACAGTGGCGTGTGGAGTAATAATAATCCTTGCATTTGATATAGCGCTTTTCACGTCGGGAGGATGTCCCAAAGCGCTTCACAGAACACACTGTAAAGTGAATTGACTGTATATTTGTGGGCGAACGCGGCAGCCAATTGTTCACAGCAATATCCCACAAACAGTCGTAGATTGAAAATGACCAATTTATTATTGTTTTTGGCTTTGGAGGGATTATTATTAGGCTCTGTGTGGAGCAAGGAAACTTGCCCAAGGTTTCGCCCTCTGCCTGGAATTGAACTCGGGTCTCTCGCTTGCAAAGCGAGTGCTCTAACCAATGAGCTACAGAACTTCACTACGATGAGTTTCCAGGCTGGTCAGACACCTGGCTAACCAAGAAAAGTCAGATCACACCTATGGAGAAAGCTTGTGGAATATGTTGCCAGATTCTGTACTCACTCGCACAGGGAAGTAATCCCGGAAATACCTCCACGTGGCCCAATTCCGAACCCACTCAGATCTTCGGCCTCCTGGAAAAAAAACACCAGGGGGGGAAAGGGGTTAACAACCGACATTTATCCTCCCCCCACCCACAGTCACATCATGTAGCGCAGTGTCTGAGCCCCTCACAGCAACAGGCAACAGAGGAGATTGCTGTAGGCACAGTTTTTAAGGCAGGATTTGATAATAATCCTTGTATTGGATACAGTGTCTTATCAGGTCATCGAGACGTCTCAAAGCGCTTCACAGAAAACACTGTAAGGTGAATTGACTGTTTTGTGGATGAAATGTGACGGCCAATTGTGCACAGCAGTGTCCCACAAACAGCCGTGGGTGACCGAAGGTGCGGTCGAAGAGGAGGTTTAATGTTCATCTCAAAGAGGGATCAAGGGAAGAGTTCTCGCTCGGAGTCCGTGCTCACCTTGTCTGGGTGTGTTCCAGTCGAGTACGAGCCAGGACGCGTACACAGCCGCCAGCGGCCAACAGTCAGTGAAGAAGGTGTACAACATGATTAGCGTGCAACTGACCCCTACCAGAGAGAGAGAAAGAATGAGATAGCGGGATACACTGATGGGGAGAAAGGGACGTGCGGGGCTGGGGAGAGCGATCGGGTGGGGGGAGTGACAGAGCTGGGAGAGGAGGGGGCGAGAGTAGATGAAAAAGAGAGAGGGTGGGTGGCACACAGAGAGAGAGAGAGATGGGGTGAGGGAGAGCGGGAGAAAAGGAGAGTGTGGAAGAAACAAGTGGAGATGGGGAGAAGTGGAGGACTTGAGAAGTGCCTTGAAGGAGACAAGGGAGGGAGCGAGGCGAAGGGAATGTGGGATGGAGTTCCAAAGGGAGGGAGCAGAGAGGCTGAAGGCCCAATCGCTGATGGTGAGATGGGATGGGCCGGGCGGGGGACGGGGAGAAAGCCAGAGCCTGCTGAGAGGAGTGAGCGGGCAGGTTGATATGGGGTTAGCAGGTCACAGAGGAGGAGCAAGGCCATGTAGGGCTTTGAAGGCAAATACGAGGATTTTGAACTCTATCTTCTGGGGGATGGGGAGCAGTGGAGCCGGGTAAGGGTGGGGGTGATGGGGTCACGGAGCCTGGTGCGGGAGAGGACACGAGCTGCAGTGTTCTGGATGAGCTGCAGCTTGTGGAGGGAAGAGTTGGGAAGGCCGACAAGCAGGTTGTTGGTGGAGTCAGGCCTAGATGTGATGAATGCGTGGGTGAGGATTTCGACGGCCTGAGGGGTGAGGCTGTGGCGGAGCTGGGTGATGTTGCAGAGGTGGGAGAAGGCAGGGCTATGGCACGGATGTGGGGGAGAAAGTTCAGTTGAGGGTCAAACAAGACCCCAAGGTTTCGGACTGGCTTGGTTAAGGTGGAGTGTGCATCCATGGATGGGGGTGCTGCCAGTGCCTAAGGCGTGGAGGCGCTGACGGAAAGCCAATCAGGAGATCCTCGGTCTTGTTGATGTTGTAGGCTATTGAAGGTAAAACAGAGAACCTTACCCAGGATCAGGAAGCTGATCACCCACTGGAGGACCGACAGGATCTGTAGCTGTTGCTCAATTTTGGAGCTAAATGACCAGGGCAGCGAGAGCAGGTCACTCAGAGCAGATAGCACCGTGGCTCCCGTCCCTACAACAAGCACAGATAGACAGAGTAACAGAGTGACTGTCCAGCGCCCAAACACTGACAGACTGCACCCCCTTCCCTCCCCCTTCACTGCAAACAACGTGGAATCCTGTAGCTCAGTAGTTAGAGCGATCACCTCACAAGCGCGAGGACTCAGGTTCGATTCCCGAGCAGGGCGAGATTTTAGACAAGTTTCCTTACTCCACATTTGCAGATCGTTTTCTGGGGATAATAATGCCTTCAAAAAGATAAAAAGATAAATAAATTGGCTCACTCAATCCACGACTGTTTGTGGAACACTGCTGTGCCTAATTGGCTGCTGTGTTTTCCCACAGTCAACCCACTTTACAGTATATTCTGTGAAGCACTTTGACTGTCCCAATGATGTGATAAGGCATGATATCAAATGCAAGGATTATTATCATCCAAACTTGGAACAATGGGCTCATTTTGCTACTACTTCAGTCACTGCACACATTAATTCCCTTTACAGAGCTTTGGTCGATTAATGACGTTTATGCCAAATATTTTGGGCATCAATGAAATCATAAATTATAGCAATGTCCCTCAAACAGCTATGAAGCTAGTAATCGATTTTATCTGGGGAATTGGTCAGGACACCAGGAGAGAGAGAAACTCGTTTTCCTTTTCCAACAGCGCTGTGGGAGATCTGTAACATCCACCTGAACAGGTCACAGACAGACTGGAGCTCGGATTAATGTCTCATCTGAAGGACGGCATCTCTGACAATGCGGTGCTCTCTATCTCTCTGTGTCTCCCCGTCCCAATGCTGGGCTGGAGCGTCAGCCTGGACGGTGACCTCAGATTCCCTGACTTAGGACTCAAACCCACAACCTTCTGACTCAGAAGCAAGAGCACGATCACCTGAGACCAGGCTGAGACCATGAATGATGGAATAAAAAGAGAGAAAAAAGCTTCCTTTTATTCAGGGGGCTTCTGTTCATCACGGTTAGTTCCATTAATCTGTGACGGGGCAGATAGAGACAGTGGTATCTTGTGTTGTTACCGTTAGGCAATAAGCTTTGGGGGTGGTGGGGGTGGAATGAAGGATAATGGATAAAAGTGCATATCCAAATCACCCGAGAAAAGTCAATGATGTGTGAGAGGAAGCGCTTTATGCAGCGTGTTAATAGATTTGAGATGCTCAGACATGAGACTACATCTGACTCTTTTATCGATTCATCCTACAAAGCATGAATTTCTAGCGCACATAAAATTAAATGCCTCATGGCTGGGCTGGTGCTCACTTCCCCCACTGGAGCTCTCTACCCTAATCCCATTCCCTGCTCTCTCCCCATCGTGTCCCTTCACACCCTGACGCCTCCCTACTTTTCTGACCTCCTCTCTCCCCACTCCACTACCCACTGACTCCACTTGGCTGGCTCTAGCCACTTAAGCAGGAGCTTGTCCCTCGTCCCTTCTCCCTGATCCACCATTGGTTGCTGGCCGTGCCTTCAGCTTCTGGCCCCGAAACTCTGGAACTCTCTCCCTCAATCCCTCCGCCTTGCCCCCACCCTCCCTTCTTTCACATCACGACTGAAGACCTTCCTCGTCAACCGTGCTTACGGGCACCTCCCCCTCTCCCTGGCTCGGCGTCAAACTCTGCCACTGTTAAGCGCTCCGAGACACTGGCCTACGTAAAGGGCACTGTGTGATTTCAAGTTGTCGTTGTTGCTGCTCTGCTGCATTGTCCTTTCTGCATAGCTATCTGCATAGCAAAATACCAAACAAACAGCCATAAAATAAATGAGCAATGTTTTGTTTATCTGGGGACTGTTGGCCAGGAGAGAGAAACTCTTTTTGAATAGCGTCATGGGACTTTTATATCAACCTGGACTGTGAGCTCAAAGTCCCAACAATTTTGACTCAGTGGAAGGACTGCTATAGATTGCCCGTGTTTTTGCACATTTACAAAGAGAAGATCGAGTAACGTTAACAAGTATGACATTTGTATTTGATGCGATGCAAATTTACATTTATAACAATAAGATGTCTCAAAGACGTGATAAGGCACTATATCAAACGCAACAATTATTATTATTATATTAATAATAGTATTATTAATTAAATAATAATTATATTTGATATAGTGCCTTATCAACTCATTGAGAAATCTCAACATGCTTCACAGAATATACTGTGAAGTGACTCTCTTTTGTGGACAAAACACGGCAGGCAATTGCACACAGCAACGTTCCACAAACAGTTGCGGATTGAGTGACCAAGTTATGCTTTTTTCAAAAGGGGATTATTACCCCTGAAAAGCGATCCGTCATTTGACTGACAAGTGGGTTTCCTACTTACTGCTAGGTAAACAGAGGCGTGTGTGTGGAGTAAGTAAACTTGCTGAATGTTTCGCCCTGCCGGAGAATCAAACCCAGGTCCTCTCGCTTGCGGAGCGAGTGCTCAAACCACTGAGCTACAGGACTCCACTTTACATTTTCAAAGCACCTTTCTCGTTGGGAGAAATGTCCGAAATCACTCAATAGGACAGGCTGGGCACCGAGGATAGGGGTGGGGAAAGATGACAAAAAGTGCAATCAAAGGTCATGGACTTTGAAGAGGTGAACGGAGGGAGGGAGGGAGGGAGCCGGAGGAACTCTGGGATGGAGTCCAAAAGAGTAGGGGCAGAAAGCCCACCAGTAATTAGGGTGGGAATGTGAAGGAGATATTGCCAGGCACCAGCAAAATTGTTTCACACAGCGAGTTACTTTCAAGTGCAGAATCTGACGGTATGGAAAACGCAGCAACTAATCTGCGCCCAAAACATACCACAAGCAGCAGTGAAATTAGTAACAACCGGACAACTGCAAAACAGTCACGACACTGCACAGTTCATCTTTGTCATTGAGACGTCTCAAAGCATTTCACAGGATACACTGTAAAGTGAATTGACTGTATATTTTGTGGGCGAAACGTGGGAGTCAATTGTGCACAGCAGCGTCCCACAAACGGTCATGAATTAAGTAACCAAATTATTTACTTATTTTTGGAGGGATTATTACCCCTGGATTCCAATCAACAAACCACCAGGTTCCTACTTACTGCTTGGTAAACAGAGGCATGTGGAGTAAGGAAACTTGCCCAACGTGTCTCCCTGCCCGGGAATCTAATACAGGTCCTCTCGCTTGCAAAGAGAACGTGCTAACCATTGAACTACTATCCACGCTACAGGGTTACAGTCATTAATTATAATCATCCTTGCATTCAGTACAGTTCTCCCGTTCCCTCTCCACCCCCCCGCTGCCTCCGCTCGGCTGGCTCCGGCCTTCTGTCCGTCCCTCGCACTCTCCGCTCCACCATTGGTGGCTCTGCCTTTAGCCGCTATGCCCTGAAACTCTCTCTCTCAATCCCTCCGCCTTATCCCCTCCTTTCCCACTTTCAAATCCCGCATAAAGACCTTCTTTTTTGATCGCGCTTACGGTCACCTTCCCCCCTCCCTCTCTCCCTGGCTTGGGGCCAGACTCCGCCACTGTCAAGCGCTCCGGGACGCTACCCCGTATGAAGTGTGCTATATAAATGCAAGTTGTTGTTGTTGCACCTTATCACGTTGTCAAGACGTCTCAAAGCGCTTCACAGAATATACTGTAAAGTGAATTGACTGTATAATTCGTGAGCAAAATGCAGCAGTCAGTTTGCACACAGCAGCGTCCCACAAACAGCCATGGAGCGAGTGACCAATTTTATCAGACAGAAACCAAGAGAGAAAATTGGAGGGAGGGAGAACAACTGAAGAGGGGAAATGAGAGAGAGAGAGAGGGAGAGCGCGAAAGGAAAGAGAGAAAACAAGAAAGAGAGCAAGAGAAGAGAGAAAACGAAGAGAGAGAAAACGAGAGACAAGATGAGGAGAGAGAGATAGGGAGCAAGAAAGAGCGAGATTAAACAAGAAAGAGAAAATGCAGGAGGGAGAGAGAAAGAGAGAAAAAAAAGGAGAAAAGAAGTGAAAGAGGGAAAAAAGAATTTACTAATATTTAAAATCAGTTCCGTCACTGACGTTTTAAAAAGCAAACAATTTGATTTCTTAGTTTAAAAAACTCCCTCTCATTTTCTCTCTTTTCTCCCTCTACCCTTCCTATTTCTGAAATGCACTTCAAACCATTTGGAACACAAAAGGTGATCCAGACATCTAACACTTAACGTAAATCATAATAATTGCATTTGATATAGTGCCTTATCACATAAATTGTGCCATCTCAAAGCGGTTCACAGAATATATTGTAAAGTGAATTGACTATTTTGTGGGCGAAATGTGGCAGACAGTTGTGCACAGTAGCGTCCTACAAATAGTCGTGGATTGAGTGACCAAATTATTATTATTTGCTTATTTTTTGAAGATTATTATCCCTGGAAAGTGATCCAGCAATTGATTAACAACTGGGTTCCTATTTACTGCAAGGTGAACAGAGGCGTGTGGAGTGTTTTTTTAAAACGAATAATAGCAAGTGTGATTTACAGTACAGTAAAACTAATGATAACTTACCTCCGGCTAACTCGCCACTCCTGATAACTAGTCACTGAACCCCTTTTGCCTTGGAGTGACGAGTCACCGGGAGTTTCCTGTAATTTAACAACTTTTTATATGTAAAGATAACAGAAATCCATCCTAGGCATTTACCACTTGCCATTTCTCGCTCTATAAAATAATCGCAAACGATACCCCTCGCATTTGACACAGCAATTATCATACCATCATAGCACCTCAAAGCGCCACATTTCAAAACAGCTAGTAACTGTTGTAAGTGAAGGCAGTTTCTCTCATGCTCTCTCTCTCTCCTGGTGTCCTGCACAACAATCCTCCAAATAAAAAAATGAATCACCATCTCCATGGCTGCTTGTGGGACGCTGCTGTGCACAAACTGGCTGTCGCCTTTCACAGTCAATTCACCTTACAGTACATTCTGTGAAGTGCTTTGAGACATCTCAACAACACGATAAGGCACTATATCAAATGCAAGGGTTACTATAGATATTATATAAATATAAGATAATAAACGACTAAAATCTCTTCCCTCTCTCTTTATATATATATACACATATATAGAGAAAGAGATTTTATTCTCTATTTTATCTTATATTTTGCTGATTCGATTCTCTCATAGTATTTTATCCTAGGAGTAGCAGACAAACGCATCCACCAAATTCACAGGTTTTTGCATTAAATGAAAAAAGTTGCACAGTACATGTGTAGAAAGGGAGAAATCCTTCAAAACGAGGAGAGGAAGAGACATATAAGAAGCCTTAAAAAAAAAGCATTTTCCCTGAGTGAGTGAATGAGTGAGTGAATGAGTGAGTGAGTGAATGTGTGTGAGGGGAGAACACAAGATGTGCAAATAATCTTAAAAAAATATGATTGGCGTTTATATTTGGGGGGAAGAGAAAAAAAACAACCCCATGGGGTGGAGGGGGAAGAGAGAAAAGTAAAGGAAGGAATAGGGGACACTTACCTCGCAATGCCCCGGAATATGCTGAGATGATGGTCTTCATGGCTTGGTTTTATTCGATGTGAGGCTTCGCACAAAATTGTTGTTATTGTGTGTGTGGAGAGAGAGAGAAAGAGAGAATGAGAGAGAAAGAAAGAGAGAGAGAGATGGTGGAAGTGGGGCTTGAGGTGGTTATTAGGCACCGCTCAGTGCGTAACCCCCTCCTCTCAGCGGCAGCTCCTGACTCAGGAACTGCACTGAGCTGCAGGTGAGACGGACCTTTAATACCTACAGGCGATACCATTAGCCCCACACAGGGAGAGGGGTGGTGGGACCCACCAATAACAAAACAGCACCCACCACCCCACACCACAGACCCACAGACTTCACAGGCCACCCACAACTTTTTCTCTCTCTTTTTTTTTCTTTTTTGCTTTGCCACATGATTCCCTTCCCTCTCTCTGTTTTTTTGTGGCTTCAGAGACCTGTGTGTGTGTGTGTGTGTGTTTGCTGCCAAAGTCTCTCCCCCCCCACCCCCCCCCCCCCCCGTTGGTACGTTCCTGTTCTCCCACTTTTTTTCCCCCACTCGAGGAAGCCCTTGTCCCAAACCCTCTCTCTCCCCCACACCCCTCCATTCCCCACCCCTCCATTCCCCACCCCCTCCGTTCCCCCCGCACCCCAACGTTCATGAGGACCACAATAGCAAGCCTTGCATTTGATGCGTTGGCTCGGGACGCTTGGGTGAGCGGCGCGATGTAGCTGCAAGTCCTTGTTATCACGTGGTCGAGACGTCTCGAAACGCTTCTCAGAACATATTGCAAAGTGTAGTTGACTGCGTATTCTGTGGGCGAAACGCGGCAGGCGACTGTTGCGCACAGCAGCGTCCCACGTTCCCAGTCGTGGAATCAATCGCCACGTTTTTCGCGACAGGGATTATTACTCCCGGAAAGTGAACCCGCCGATCGACTAACAACTGGGTTCCTACTTATTGCTGGGTAAACAGAGGCGTGTGGGGGAAGGAAACTTGCCTAAGGTTTTGCCCCGCTCAGGAATCAAACCCAGGTCCTCTTCGCTTGCGAGGCAAGTGCTCCAACCCCCCCAACTCCACCACCCTCAACGCCGCATACACACACGCCCTTCACTGAGCTACACTCCTGGCCCCCAAACCTCAGCCCCGACCTCCCCCCACAAGTGTTCCTCAGGGAACTGTGTCATAGCCCCAGTTTTTTACTCTATATATCTGGATCAAGGCATAGAAGGGATTCTATCCATGTCTGCAGATGATAATAAATTGGGAGGTGTGGTGAGGTGTGACGACAGCAGTGGAAGAGTGGACAGATTTATGGCAAATGGAGTTTAATGTTCATTTTGGAAGCACAAATGTGGAAGTAGGAATACATTCTAGATGAAAAAGCTCTCAGTGGGAACATCTCAAAACGTAGGACAGTCAGAGATTTGGACTTGAGCAGGGGGTTGGGATCAAGAGGGGTGGAGGGCAGATAGGGTAGGGGTAGGAGGGTGGCTGAAGGTGGTTCAAGAGGACAGTCTTTCAGTGAGGCAAGGGAGGAAGCAAGCGAAGGAACTGTGGGATGGAGTTCCAAAGGGTGGGGGCAGAGAGGTTGAAGGCCTGGCCACCGATGGTGGGGCAGGCTGGGTGGGGGACATGGAGCAGGCCGGAGCCCACTGAACGGAGGAAGTGGACAGGTTGGTATGGAGTAAGCAGGTCACAGAGGTTTGGAGGGTTTTAAGCTGAGGCCGAATATTTTGAACTGTCTTCTGGGGGATGGGAAGCCAGTGGAACCGGGCGAGGGTGGGGGTAATGGGGGCACGGAGCCTGGTGTGGGAGGGGACATGAGCTGCAGAGTCCTGGATGATCTGCAGCTTTTGAAGGGAAGAGTTGGGAAGGCTGACAAGTAGGGAGTTGGCGTAGTCAAGCCTAGATGTGGGTCACTCAGTCATGGATTGAGCACCCAAATTTATTTTGAAGGGATTATTACCCTCAGAAAGTGATCCCATTATGCTGTGGGACTCCTGATGTGAAAAGTGCTGTGTTCATGTCAATGTAAATGTATATTGTCGTGTGTATTTGGTAGTTGAGCCGGCCAATTGTTAGCAAACACTAAACCTGGGGTTCGGTGTGGTGAGGTGTTAAAGATAAAAGCTTTTTCCTCTCCTTGTACCCATGTTTCCTTTTATTGCGCTCAACCCAACACAGGACTCGAGAGGTGAAGAAGAAAGTTGAACGGATGAAGAGAGAGGTGAAGGGGTGAAGCGCTAAAGAGATGAAGGGGTGAAGGGGTGAAGGGATAAAGAGGTAATGGTTTGAGCAACAACAACACATTACATTTACACAGCGCCTTTCATGTTGGGAGGATGTCCCAAGGCACTGGACAGTCAGGGATCTGCACCCGAGCTGGTGGTTGAGATCAGGAGGGGTGGAGGGCGGGGAGGGTAGGGTTATGACTAAAGGCACAGTCGAAGAGGAGGGTCTTGAATGAGACAAGGGAGGAAGCACGGCAGAGGGACTGCTGGATGGAGTTCCAGAGGGTGGGGGCAGAGAGACTGAAGGCTCATCTGTCAATGGTGGGGTGGGCACGGTGCGGGATGTGAAGCAGACCAGAGCCCGCTGACCAGAGGGAACGGACAGGTTGGTTTATAATAATATTTATAATAATAATCCTTGCATTTAGTATATTGAAGGCTTGAAGCGTAAAGAGTGAAGAGGTGAGGGTGAAATAATAAATATAATAATCCGTGTATTTGACACAGCGCCTTACCACAGCGATGAGAATTCTCAAAGCGCTTCACAGAATATATTGTAAAGTGAATCGACTGCATATTTTGTGGGCGAAACACAGCAGCCAATTGCGTACAGCAGTGTCCCACAAAGCAGTTGTGGATTGAGTGACCAAATTATTATAATCTTTTAAAATTTATTTTTGTTTAGGAGGGATGACCTGCTGACTCCCTACCAACCTGCCCGCTCCCTCTGTTCATCAGGCTCCAGCCTGCTCCATGTCTCCCACCCAACCCGCCCTACCATCGATGGCCAGACTTTCAGCCTCTCTGCCCCCACACTCTGGTATTCCATCCCACGGCTGACACCCGGTCTTCCTCCCTCGCCTCCTTCAAGGCCGGTCTCAAGACCCTTCTGTTCGACCGTGCCTTTGGTCTCCCTCCCACCTCTCTGCCTTCCCTCACCCCTAAAACACCCCTCCCCCATGCTCGGGCCCCGACATCTGACTGTTCAGCACTTTGGGATGTCCTCCCGAAGTGAAAGGCGCTCTATAAATGTGATTTTGTTGTTGTTGTTGTTGTATTACCCCCGGAAAAGCAATCCACCAACCGACTAACAACCGGTTACTTTCTGTTAGATAAACAGAGGGTAGGTGGGTAGTAAGGAAACTTGTCTAAGGTTTCGCCTTGCAGGGAATCAAACCCAGGCCTAACCATTAAGCTATAGGACTCCACGAGGTGAAGGGGTGAAGAGATGAAGAGGTAAAAAGATGAAGAAGTGAAGAGGTTCATATAAAAGTCAGCTGTTTCTCTTCCGTGACGTTGTATTTTGTTTTGTGATCCTCGAAGAGTCTGAAAAGCTCCTCCATGTATTTCTGGTGCAATGTATCAATGTCTTCCTGTGTTGGGCTTTCCTTCTTTTCCACTTCTATCGCCTTTCCAACTGGGAACAGAGAGAGAGGAGAGAGAGAGAGAGAGAGGAGAGACAGAGAGCGAGGAGGAGGAGAGAGAGAGAGAGAGAGAGGATTTCAGAGCGGGTTTCTCAATGAGAGGTCCAGGAGGGTCCACAGCCCATTCCTGTCACCAGCCGGGTGTCTGACACACGCGAAAACCCATCACCGTGATCAGCCGGGTGTCTGACCCACGCAGAAACCCATCACCATGATCAGCCGGGTGTCTGACCCACGCAGAAACCCATCACCGTGATCAGCCGCGTGTCTGACCCACGCAGAAACCCATCACCGTGATCAACCGGGTGTCTGACCCACGTAGAAACCCATCACCATGATCAGCCGCGTGTCTGACCCACGCAGAAACCCATCACCATGATCAGCCGGGTGTCTGACCCACGCAGAAACCCATCACCATGATCAGCCGTGTGTCTGACCCACGTAGAAACCCATCACCATGATCAGCCGCGTGTCTGACCCACGCAGAAACCCATCACCATGATCAGCCGCGTGTCTGACCCACTCAGAAACCCATCACCATGATCAGCTGTGTGTCTCCAAACCCAAAGTACTGAGAATTCCACAATGTGTGGTTTCTGTTTGTCTTGAATGGAACGTGTACTTTCTCTACATAGAGAGGATTTGGCACAGGTTTTGGCAGCCTTGGGTAAACAAACTTAATTTATTTTTGAACGAGAAATCAAAGATTACGTAAACAGACTCACTCAATGCTTGTGGGACATTACTGTACACCAACTGGCTGCCGCGTTTCACCCACAATATATACAGTCAAACAACTTTGCCGTGAATCCAATAATAATTGGATACACATCCTTATGTTTGACGTAGCACCTTATCGTGTCGTTAAGACGTTTCAAATTATATTGTAAAGTGGAGTGGCTGTGCATACTTGCGGGCGGCAGCCAATTTCGGACAGTAGTGTCCCACAAACAGTCGTGGATTGAGTGACCAAATTATTATTATTTTTTGTGGGGAGGGATTATTATCCTTGGAAAGCGATCCTCCAGTTGACTAACAACTGAGTTCCAACTTGTTGCTAGCTAAACAGAGACATGTGGAGTAAAGAAACTTGCCCGAGGTTTTGCCCTGCTGGGGAATCAAACCCGGGTCCTGTCGCTTGCGAGGCAAGCGTACTGACCACTACGCTACACGACTCGTCACTACAGGACTTACCTACAGTGTAAATGGGCTTCCTGTACGGGATCAGACCAAAGCTATACTGGAACACACCACGAGCGTGGAAAAGGGGGAGCGAAATTCCCATCATTTTCTGCAGCCGTTCCTGGATAGTCCGCAGCACGGAGCCCTGGGATTGGGCACCTGGTCAAACAACTCATTCTCCCCAAAGGAAAAGACCGGAACAAGGGTAGCCCTGCAATGCCAACACAGGAGGCGCTTAACACAACAACACATTAATAATAATTCTTGCATTTGATATAGCGTTTTTCACGTCGGGCGGACGTCCCAAAGCGCTTCACAGAACACACTGTAAAGTGAATTGACTGTATATTTGTGGGCGAACGCGGCAGCCAATTGCGCACAGCAATGTCCCATAAACAGTCGTGGATTGAAAATGACCAATTTATTATTGTTTTTGGTTTTGGAGGGATTATTATTAGGCTCTGTGTGGAGTAAGGAAACTTGCCCAAGGTTTCGCCCTCTGCCTGGAATTGAACTCAGGTCTCTCGCTTGCAAAGCGAGTGCTCTAACCACTGAGCTACAGGACTCCAGATTACATTTACACAGGGCCTTTCACGTCAGGAGGGTATCCAAAGGCTCTGGACAGTCAGGGATTTGGACTTGAGCTGGGGATTGAGATCAGGAGAAGTGGCAGGCAGGGAGGGTGGGGTAGGAGGTTGACCAAAGGCACGGCATTCTGCTTGTCCCTTATTCCCTCCACCATCGGTGGCCGTATTTTCAGCCACTACGCCCCGAAACTCTGGGACTCTTTGCTTCAATCTGTCCGCCTTGGCCCTTCTTCCCCTCATTTAGATCACCACTGATGACCTTCCTCTTTGACCGTGCTCATGGTCACCTCCCTCCCCCCCGGCTCGGGTTGTGCTCCACCACTGTCAAGCGCTCTGGGATGCTACCCTGCATGGGGTGGGTTGCTGCGTAAATGCAAGTTGTTGTTGTTGATTTATTGCGGGAGGATGTGGGTGGCAGGTTGAACAGTGAAGTGTAGCGACTGTGTGTTTTTGTTCCTCACCCAAACTGCAGGGCGAGTTTGATGAATCCCTTCCTGTTCTTCAAGAGCACAGAGTAGGCTCCCGGCCGGGCATCCAGGGCCTCTGGAGCCCCACCGATGGCGATCACAGCCACATTGCCCCCACCTGCCTGCCTCAACAAGTACTTGGCGCTCTCCTTGGCTGAGGGAACCAAGCCTGCAAGAGAATCAATACACTTATTTTTAACATTGGGCAAGTTTCCTTACTCCACACGCCTCTGTTTACCAAGCAGTAAGTAGGAACCCGGTTGTTATTATAATATTATTGTCCTTGCAGTTGATATAGCACCTTATTGCGTCTTTGAGACATCTCAAAGTGGGGCAGAGTGGCTGAAGGCTGAATATACTGTAAAGTGGATTCATTGTATATTTTGTGGGCGAAATGCAGCAGCCAATTTCGCACAGCAGTGTCCCACGAACAGTCGTGGTTTGAGTGACCAATTTATTATTCTGTTTTGAGGAATTATTACCCCCGGAAAAGTGATCCGCCAAGTGACTAAGAACTGGGTTCCGGATTCCAAATCACTGCTAGGTAAACAGAGGTGTGTACAATTCAACATTATTATAATAATAATTACAACAATAATAATAATCGTCATCGTAAGGAAACTTGCCTAAGGTTTCGCCCTGACCCGCCTGGGAATCGAACCCGGGTCCTCGCGCTTGCGAGTCGAGTGCGCTATCCCACTACGCTGCAGGAGTGAGGGGAGGGACTCCTACCTGCACACATGATGTAGTCTCTGAAGAAGGGCACTCTGAACCAGAGCGGCAGCATGAGCATGTGAGGTGTCAGCCCGGGGAACAGGCGGCTGAAGCCGGTGGCCTCAGTACAGAAATTGGCAAAGGCTCCGGCCACCAGCACACCATGAGGGTGGAACCCGAAGATATAGTTCCTCTCCGCCGTCAACTCCTCCGTCTTAATCAGCTGACAAAACAGACAGTAACACAATTCAATGTCACAATAATATTACAACAACAATAATAATCATTCCAGGCTCGAGGGGCTGAATGGCCTCCTCCTCTTTCTATGAGGGGAAACAGACCTACCTATGTGTAATTATATAATAATCCTTGCATTTGACATGGCCTCTCCCCCACTCCTAACCCTCTACCAACCCACCCGTTCCCTCCGCTCAGCCGGCTCTGCCCTGCTCACGTCCCCTGACCCACCCGCCCCACCATTGGCGGGAGAGCCTTCAGCCACTCTACCCCCAACCTCTGGAATTCCATTCCCCAATCACTCCGCCTCGACCCCTCCTTAGCCTCCTTCAAGTCCCACCTCAAGACCCTCCTATTCGACCATGTCATCGGCCACCCCCCTCCCCCCCCCCTCCCTTCACACACCCCCCCCGCCCCCAACCCCAGCTTGGGTCTGAAATGCTGTCCAGTGCCTTGGGACGTCCTCCTGATGTGAAAAGCGCTGTACAAATATAATTTTGTTGTTGTTGATATAGCGCCTTAACACGTTTTCATAGTGAATTGACTGTATATTTTGTGGGCGAAACGTGCCAGCCAATTGCGCACAGCAGTGTCCCACAACCAATCGTGGATTGAGCGCTCTGGGATGCTACGCTATATAAATGCAAGTTGTTGTTGTTGAGTGACAAATTTATCATTTTTTTAAAGGAATTATTATCCACGGAAAGCGATCCGCCAATCGACTAACAGCCTGGTTCCTACTGACTGCGAGGTAAATAGAGGCGTGTGGAGTAAGGAAACTTGCCTGAGGTTTTGCCCTGCCCGGGAATCAAACCCGGGTCCTCTCGCTTGCGAGGCGAGTGATCTAACCACTGATCTACAAGACTCCACTGTAGTGTGTTGTTTGTGTAAAACAAGCTTGTTTGTGACGGGCTGGAAAAAATCACCCCACCCCCAAAATAAGTTTTCCAGATTCCAACATTCCCCTCATGGGCCCCAAACTCCCCTCTCAAAAACAACACGATCGATTTCCCCCCCTCCCCTCCCCTCCCACTCCATAAAGAGAAATCACAGGCGAAGGCAGTAATGTAATGGAGATGATAGGTATGACTGGAATGATACCAAGAGTCAAAAGGCCATAAATTAATCTTTAACAGCTTAATATTCCATCAACATACGCCCCTTCACAGTGGGCGATAGACAAGAGATAGAGAACGAGATGGTGTCTGTCACACGCAGAAACCCGTCACCATGATCAGCCGGGTGTCTGACACACAGGAAAACCCGTCACCGTGAACAGCCGGGTGTCTGACACACACGGAAACCCATCACTGTGCTTAAGAGCATCAAAACCAGGCTGAGAGTTCCACATATGTTTAACCATAATAATAATCCTTGCATTCGATACAGCGCCTTATCACGTCATTGAGACGTCTCAAAGCACTTCACAGAGTATAATATATTGTAAACTGAATTGACTGTATATTTTGTGGGCGAAATGTACCAGCCAGTTTGCACACAGCAGTGTCCCGCAGACAGTCATGGAGTGAGCGACCAATTTTATTTTGGGGGATTGTTGGCCAGGACACCTACACGCGGAGATTTCTCTGTGATTTGGGAATGGAAAGTGCTCCCTCTCTCTCTCTCTCTCTCTCTTCCCTCCACCCCTTCTCACCAAGTTCCGACGAATATTCGGTACAGGTTGGCAAATAAATCGCTCGTTCACTTTGTCGCAGTTTGTGAGACACTGCCCTATGTGCAACTGGCTACAAAATACAGTTATGCCGCTTGACAGCGATAGGTGATGTTAATTAACACAAAGATAAGCTTTGTGGCGTAGGTAGGATTTGAACACAAAAGTGTTTACCACAAACATGATCACTAGGTGGCAACAACAACGACGATAAATTGCATTTACACAGCACCTTTCACACCAGGAGAACGTCCCAAGGTGCTGGATTTGGACCCGAGTTGGGGGTTGGGATCAGCGGGGGTGGAAGGCAGAGAGGGTGGGGTTACCAGCGTGACCCAATTTGAGTTCGAAGAGGAGGGTCTTGGGACGTCCTCCCGACGTTGTTGTTGTCTTGAGATGCGCCTTGAAGGAGGCAAGGGAAGGAGTGAGGCGGAGGGACTGTGGGAGTGAGTTCCAAAGGGTGGGAGCAGCACAAAGTCCTTCAGATGATCTCAAGATTGGGTTTGGATGAAGAAGGCCCTTCGGCCCATCTCATCTCACCCCCCCAGATTAATATATCATTTATATTTACGCGGTGCCTTTCTCATCAGGAGGCAATCCCAAAAAGTGTTTGACAATGCCGGCTGGGTACCTTTCATCAGGTTGGCGAGAGCCAAGGCTTGGGGGACCCTAGAGTGTGCGTTGGGGTAACTGCAGGCATCTAACCAGCTAAAACCACTTAGTTTGCCATTGGGAGCCCTGTCTGGCAAGCTTTCCCACTGCTTATCCAGCTAGGACCACCCTAACCATACTCGGAGCAAGGGAGGGAGGGAGTGAGGGAGGGATGGAGGGTAGGGAGAGAGAAGGGAGGGAAGGAGCTGCCTCACAGCAGCATATAGAGGATCCCTGGATTACGCAGCAGTTAATAATTCTCTTTTGTTCCTCTCTATGTGAACCATCTCTGTGTCCCCGTGTTTACCAGGCTGGGACCTCTCTCTGTCAAACTGGGAGCCATGGTAACATGCGCTGCCTGTTTTTCAGCCGTTCAAGCAGGCTGTCGCTGTTTAACCCTTGCTCTGCCATGATGGAGGAGATCTCAACCACCACACCCACCCCTGCCCTCTGGAGCTGTGTTTACCTCACTCTTTCTTTCTCTCTCTCTGTCCCTCCCTTTCTCCCTTGCTCGCTCTCTCCCTCTCTCGCTCTCTCCCACCCTCTGTTCTCTCTCTGTCTTTTTTTCTCTCTCTTTTTCTCCCCCCCCCCTCTCTATTTCTCCCCCCCACCCCTCTCTCCCTCCCCTTGCTCTCTCTCTTCCTCGCTCGCTCCGCAATTTATTAATAATAATAATAATCCATGCATTTGATATTACCCCTTAGCACGTCTTCGAGATGTCTCAAAGCGCTTCACAGAATATACTGTAAAGTAAATTGACTTTATACTTTTGTGGACGAAACGCAGCACAGCAGTGTCCCGCAAACAGTCGTGGATTGAGTGACCAAATTATTATTTTTTTTGGTGGAAAAAATATATGGGTGGAATTGGACTTGAGGTACTGATCAGCCATGATCTTATACAATGGTGGAACAGGCTTGAGGTTCCTATGTTGCTATGAATGCTATGAATTCTCAGTCTGGTTTGAAGACTCATAAGCACGGTGATGGGTTTCCACAAGTGTCAGACGCCCGGCTGTGAGCAAAAAACAATCCTTTTGACTGTGTCTTCAGTCACAGCTAGTCCGTTCATCTGAGTGGGAGACTCTGAGATTGTCCTCACTATGTGAAAGACAGAGGCCTTTCCAACTCTTCCCTCCACAAGCTACAGACCATCCAGATCTCTGCAGCTTGTGTCCTCTCTCGCTTCACGCTACCCATCCCCTCCCCAACCCCAGAGGATTGAGTTCAAGATCCTTGTCCTCGCTTTTAAAGCCCTCCATGGTCTTCCTCCTTCCTACCTCTGTGACCTTCTAAAACCCTACCAACTCACCCACTCCTTCCTCTCTGTGAGCTCTGACCTGTAGCGCAGTGGTTAGAGTGCTCGCCTTGCAAGCGAGAGGACCTGGGTTCGATTCCCGGGCAGGGCAAAACCTTAGGCAAGTTTCCTTACTCCACACACCTCTGTTTACCTAGCAGTAAGTAGGAACCCGGTTGTTAGTCGATTGATGGATCGCTTTCCGGGGGTAATAATCTCTCAAAGGAAAATAATAACAATAATTTGGTCACTCAATCCACGATTGTTTGTGGGACAATGCTGTGCCCAATTGGCTGCCATGTTTCACCCATGAAATACACAGTCAATCCACTTTAAAGTATATTCTGTGAAGTGCTTTGAAGCGTCTCAACAACATGGTAAGGCGCTATATCAAATGCAAGGATGATTATTATTATAAGGGTAGTTTTATAATATCACGTCAATCCACTCAAAAGGCTTCACAAGTAATTATTCTGTGTCGGGGAGAATGTTTATTGTGGGCAGACTCAAGAGAACTATTTGCGCACAGCCAAGTCCCACAAGCTGCTCTGGAGGTGAATGACCGATTTAGCTTTAAATCTGCCACATTGTCGCCCTGGAGACTGGGAGAAACTCCCAGTCCCGTTCCAACAATGTCGTATAACACTTACACAGCGAGCTTTCACCCGTGACAGTCTCAAAGTGAATTACCGTGATCAGCCGGGTGTCTCACACACACACACGGAAATCCATCACCGTGATCAGCCGGGTGTCTAATATACGTTACATTGTCAGAAAGAGAGTTTCTCTCCCTGGTGTCCTGGCTGCCAATCCTCCAGATAAAATCGCTTCATGGCTGTTTGCAGGACATTCCTGTGCGCAAAAATTGGCTGCCAATTTCGCCTTCAATTACATCTCATCCAAAGGACGATACCTCCCACAATATGGGGCTCTCTCTCTCCCCCCAGCACTGCGCTGAAGCATCAGCCTGGACTGTGAGCTCAGAGTCCCTGGGTGGAGGTGATGGGAGTGACTCTGAGGTGAGAGTGTGAGTGACTGAGCCAGGCTGACATGCTTCTGACAGAGAGTGGAGAGGGATAGATAAACTTGCAGGATAAATAATAAGTTTTGCGTTTGATACAGCGCCTTTCACAAATATAACAACAAATTGCATTTGCACGGCGCCTTTCACGACAGGAGGACGTCCAAAGGTGCTGGACAGTCAGGGATGTGGACCCGAGGGGGATTGGGATCAGGAGGGGCGGAGGGCAAGGAGGGTGGGGGCAGGAGGGTGACTGGAGGTGCGGTCGAGGAGGGTCTTGAGATGGGCCTTGAAGGAAGCGAGAGAGGGAGTGAGGCAGAGGGACTGTGGGGGTAGACACAGTGGG